CCAAGTAGTACTCGATAAGGAATCATCTAAAGTTTTATTAATTATTAAATCACCATTAAGTCATAATTAAATACGGGAAGCAGTAGTAACATAAAAAAGTAGCGAAAACGTTATAGGAAATATTGAAAATATAATTAAAATGATGGGCCAGTGCTAGATCATATAATAGGAAAACATGTAGTGACTTATGTACTTGGCCTCAATAATATGATATCAATACTTTTTGTTAGAGGAATTCACAGCAATCCTGTACTTGCCGTAGTTTTTTACATGTAAGTGTTTTTTGGGGGATACTCCTGACCCTAAGCCATCTCACCTTCTTCGAACGATATAACTTTAATTACCGTAACAGTGTTTTTCTCATTTTTCAGTGTTACTTAAATGTTACTAGGGTCTGCATACTCGAATCATATTTTAACTATCAATTTGTTGACAACTCTTTATTTTATTTTACGATTGTTTAATAATAAAGCAAATACCTGACTACTCTATTGATTCTTAGCTATAGGATTCTAATTTAAAAACTAATTGCTCACTCGCTCGCGAGAAAATTGAAGTCATTAATCTCATTAGGGGCGTATCGAGTAACGCCTCGCATCAGGTGATTGACGAGTCATATAAAGTCATCGTAATGTTGCCGTACTAAAAATTCGACGATGCGCAAAAAAAACGGAGTACTTTAGCGACAGGCAAGCGTCTCATATTTCACCCTAATCATTTTTTATTTCGCATCCCCTTATAACAGATCGATGCAAAAATAAAGTATAACGTCAATGAAACTTTCGGGGTACTCAAGCTCGGGTCATTATTTTTGTCAGGCCCGATAATTTTGTTCTCAACCACTTAATCTTCTCTATCGTAACGTTCTGAGATCTATATTTAATGTCGAGATACCTTTACGCGTGGATTAACGAAAATTTCAATTATTCCTCCTCTTTGAGTATCCTCTAATCTGTCTCAAAATTGTATCGGCTAATTGAAACAAAATAGTAAACAGGATGCCGAGACGGCGCACGTTGCGTCATTTATTTTGAATTATAGTACAGCGAATTTATGTACACGCGACACGCACGGTTTTGGCACACTACCTACCCGACATTAAAGATTTGCCAGTGTGGATGTCGCGGGAAATCAATCACGACGCAAATTGGCCAGGAGAATATGTCACTTCCGGTTGCTTTTAAAACAAGCAACGGCTGCCACATTGGAGCCACTGTATATATTCGTACTTGAATACCATCATAAATCATTTATTCAAATTTTACAGAGTTTATGCCAACTGACCATTGCCGTATAACAAAAGGCATTCTGTGGCCGAGGACTTTGGCTGATATTTCGATGCACGCTCTCGTGTGACTGATATGGAACCTTTCTATCGCGCACACAATATTGATAAGAGCCGACTGTTTGTTCCGATGGGAAGAATGGATGTACATATATATATTAATAATAAAAAACTAAATAAATTCTGAAAGAACCTAATACAAAGATCGATCGAGATTGTTTGTCATACAGTAAAAAAATAACTATGGACAATCAACCGTTATCAGAATTCTCACTCGCTTTTTCTTATCTCCTCGTAGCTCCGAGGAGATACGTGAAAAATATCATGCGGGACCAACAAAAAAAACTGTCATCGACAGGGTCATCTTCCACTTAATTCTCGTGTGACCGTCGCTGGAAAGTACTAAAAAAAAGCTGTTTTATTAAGAGAGAGAAAAGACGCCCATCTGTCTCATGGAGAAGTATGCTTTGTGTGCTTCGTGTATGCTTGGATTTCATCTAAGTAAAATCGAGGAACTTTTACATGAAAAAAACGGAGAGAAAAGGCGTGTCTGAGCTGTCGTGTAAATGGGCCAACCTGTCACAGGAAGAATCACACGCGGCTCTGACGCACAATAAGAACAAGTCACGTGGACGGTACAACCTAATTTTTATAATGCAAATGAAAATATCTCTTATCGTATGGATGCGTGCAATAAATTCCAATTCATTCGATGCATGAGGGAGGTGCGAAAGGAGCGGGAATTTCAAAATTGCTTGATAAAAATATTCGAAAGCTTTCCAGGTCAAGAAGCATCTTAACGTAAATATATCGATAAATTCAGTTAGAAGTGTTTTTGCGATTAGCACCGGGTTGAAATACCGATGGAAAACTCGTATCAACCAGGACGAGAAAAGATCCGGTTATGACCAAAGTGCTTTTTGGAGGCGTCGGGACGGCTCGAAGACGCCTGTGTATTTACGCAATACCTTTCAACGTCGAGATGCTTTCTACACTTTTGACACTCCGCCGGTCAGATGCGTTTTAATAGTTCCAATACTACCCATAGCGACCCCACTGTTGATACCACACGTGTATGCATCCTGTTAGTTCAGTGCGTCGATGCATTTCAAACGCCACGTGCACTGCGATAATGCAATTTAAGGTGAAATTGCAATATTCGATAGAGTTATGATGTACGATTACAATTGCACCTTTCGATAAAGTGAAGACGTCGATAAGGAACGATGAACTAGTTGCCGTGTTTTTTCCTATTGAATTAAGAGCATCAATGGGATGTGTGCACCGTGACGAAATATAATTGTTTTTATCAGCAATAAGGTTCAACGAATCTATACCGTAGGAGGAGCAATCCCCGGAAGCACAATGGGGCGATATCGTGTTTCTTGGGAAGCTAGTAAAAAAAAGAAAAGAGGAAAGCTATATGTATACCCGAATCGAATCGTTAATTCTATCGAATTAGTGACAATCGCAGGTTCCATATATACTGCACTGTCCCGGAGGGTAACAATTGGAATTGAAGTAATTGCGATCGCGGGATTAATACACCCTGTGACTTTTGTTCGATGAGTTTTTATTACGTGCACAATAATATGAAAAGTAACGATGTATCCGAGAATGCTTTAGAACTCGGGAAAAAGAAAACAATTCTATAAAATTATTTTCATTGCAATTTATTTTGTACGACACTTTCAATTTCATTGATATTTTCGCATCCCTCGCGCTCGCCAATTTTTTCGAGTTTTTGCGATCTCTGTGGTCTCTATTTCCGGTTTATCTGGTCTATCTATAATACTGTAGTACATAGCACTGTAATAATTATTTTTAAACGCATCACATTGAATACCACTACTTGGGTAAATTAAGTAGCAAAAATATTTTGCAAGATGTTTATTGAGGCTGGAAGACTTTTAATGTACTGGGGAATATGAATATAAAAATAACCCCAACGAGATAGTTAAGTAAAAAAGGGGGACAAAATTATTCCTCTGAACAAAAGAAAAGGACAAGCAAGAATATTCTCAATCAACAATACGAACTTGGCCCCGAATCAAATTCATTGAAGATGACGAGGAAAAAATGGATGCAAAATATAGTCTAGTTGTTCGGCATGACAATTTCGCAAATAACCTGACGAAACGTTTATGAGCAGCTTGTTGCCGTTTTCGCATCCCGTTGAAAACGTCACGTAGCGCTCGCCTCTATGGTGAATTCAGAAGAAAATGTAAATGTCGTTTAAAATGTCTTGCACTCAATTTACCTCAAAATATATATACATGTGCCAGCTAGCTTGTAAATTCATTGATTTTTCTAACTTGCGATTCCCGATACAAATTTCAACCCAGCATATTTACTTCCTCGCCTGGCTACACATCCCCGCATTCGTAACGAGCGTTTATTTTGGCAATGCTTGCTCACGAATCTTAGGCGGCGTATAGAACGCCAGGCGTACGAATCGGAGTGCCGCTCTTATTTTACCCAAAACTTAAAACACTGTCGGCCATTAAATAAATTAACGTGGGTACACTCATTCGTTTACAAAATCCTGAGAAATCGATACGCTTTAAGAAAAAGAAAAAATTAGTAACGATAATACATGATTCTTCATAACCCATAATAAAATCGGTGCTAAAAATGTATTTCACTATTTTAAACTTCAAGCCAATTAAATAGGAGTGTTATTGAAGAAAAAAAAAAAAAAAATAGAAAAAATGATATTTTCAAAATTTTCGTAATTTAAACGAGTTCATTTATTATTAGATCAAACTCCAATGAATTAATCTACGAATGGGGTGAAGAAACATCGAAGCAAAATTCTACACTCAACTTTGAAGCAAAATCTCCAATTTTTGGATGAATGCTAGAGACTCCTAGTTTTTCGTGCAATATTTCATTGTGTCTTAAGTTTTGCTTTACTGAAAATTATATCGACGATCACTTTACGTGTGATTGTTTATTATGCCTTTCGGTCGATCCAGTTTTTTATGACTGATTCACATCCAATTTGCTCCATAAAAATAAATCGACCTTGAAATTTACGTAATCAGAACGGCAGACCACGATCGTTTGTCTGGAATGTCCTAAAGTCAGTTAATGTCCCATGGGATTGTAAGGACCTTTAATTAAGATCCCGGGCATAGTTCGGGTGACCTGCTAAATTTCAGCAAATTTCTCATAGACAGGTAATTAGTGAACATCCTAGCATTTGTAGGTGATTAAAAAGTTTTATGAATTTTTTGATACTCGTGCATCGAAATTTTATGCAAAACTGAAGGAAATGTTGCAATACAAATCTTTATTAGGTTTTGCAAACAGCGATTCGATGTGATTGAAAGAATTCAATTTTATTCTTCCACAGCGAAAATTTAACACTTGTCGACATAATAAAGTACAGGGTAAAAGAACATGGTATGGAAATCGTACTGAAATTTCAACGAGATTTTTTTAGATTCCATAAATATATTTTTATTCGTCCTCGCTTTGAGTCAGGTATAAAATATAGGATGAATTTTATTCGCTACAGATCCTGGATAAGTATAGCTCATCAAAGATGGCCTCTAATCACATCGAAGAACGCGAATTCTCTGATTAGAACCAATTACTCGTATACGTTCAATTTACTCAACCTAATAAATGATACTTTCTAGAAATATCCTACAAAAGTTTCTGCATTCGTTTTCCTTAGATTTCTCATTTTATATTTGAAATAAATGAATATTAACTGTGAATAAACGAAGCGTGCTTCTAATATTGTAAAAAAAATGGTGCAAACTTGAATAATAAATATAATGTGCCATAAGAAATTCAGCAAGATTTATATTTTTAAGCAATACATAGATGATATTTATTCAAGCCAAAAATTACAAATTGAAATTTCACAATTTTGAATTTGTCGACCCTAATCGAATGATTCACGCGCTGCCAATAACGTCCTGCTGCAAAGCCAAAATGCGTAAATTTGAAACTCATCAAGGTAATCACGTAGTCAGTAAAATTCCTGTGATCGTTTAACACAACAGCACTGTATCGGTCCAATGAATTTTGAAAGTGAAAGCATCCAATTTTTCTTGTCTAATATATCTACAACTTGCCACGGGGCTTCGTATTCCCTTATCGTGCGAAAATCGAGATACTTGCCGAGTGCATTATTTTTATTATTATCATCCTACGAACGGAACCTAATATTAGCAAATTCTACGTATATTTATATCTCGAGATGCTCTACTTGCTTATCAAGTTTCGTCAAAATCCGCGAGGGACACCCCGGATACGTTTGTTGTTAGTTGAGTTGAAACTTTTAATCAATAATCGATAGTTTTTTCCAAAATTTTTTAAACAGATAATTTCGTGTCAGATAAACTCTTCAGTTACGATTTACGATTCTCTACCAATGCGATTTTTTAGATTAGGTTAGGTTACTCGTTCGGTTTCTAATTTTTATAGTTAGATATTTCTGTGCTTCGGGACTTTTGACTCAAGAGTGCTCGAATTTTAATGTCCTCTCCTACAAGTAAATTAATATTTTTCTGGCTCTGTTTCAAGATTATAAATCAGAAGAGATTCGTTCTTGCGCCACCGCGATAACCGTGAAAGTGACGCATCTCTAATGTAATATACTAATTCTCGTTTCCCTTGGTCATTCATAAACTTCAGAATTCTTTCAAACAAGCAACATTTGTTTTAATTCATTTTCGAAGCGACCATTGCCCTAAAATCCTGTTTATAGGTCAGTTCATCTATCATCGATTGAACAACATCACGAAATTGCGCCAGTGAGCATCCTCCGCGTTACTACGCATGGAGTATAGCATGCGTGTTTCAAACGGAAAACTGGTCCTCGGGAAAATGTCATGTATATGGAATATATTAATAAATATATTTTTTATTATATAATACTGTATATCTTGAATATATCACTTTTTAATTGTATTACATAGTATATCCCAGATATATATAGAGTATATCTTATGCGAAATGTATTCTGCATATAAACGAGATATATTTTTTACTATATTCAACCTGTATGAGGTTTTTTTAATATTCAAGAAACGATAAATTTTCATTGTGAAAAATTTCCAGAAAATTAAATATCAAGCAGTTTTCATAAATTTGAATATCAGGACTCCAGTGAATCGATGTAAGATCACGTTACGATTCTCATTTGAATTACCCACAAATCTTTATTCATTGAACAAATATTATTTGAAGTCTCGGTTTCTTTTTAAAGGTCCATCGGGTCCTTCGCTATTGAAATTCCATCAATAAAATTCCCATTGAATTTATTATTATCCTAAACCTACCTTCTGGTAAAGGAACGGTCGCGTAAGAGCCAACCATCTTTCAGCAGCCATAACAATCGCTACGCAACCACTGAACAATCCAAAGAGTCGCCAAACAACACGAAAAGAGCAAGACGTCTTCGGGGGGAAGACATTTCCCACGTAGATGGTTAAATACATTTGCACCAGCATTCCAAGCAGCGCGACCAAATCGTTCAATACCAAACATCGCAGCATCAGCAAGTGCTTCCGATTTCTCCTCTGCAACAAATCAACCAAGAGTCCATATATTGTAACGTGGCGGTACAGAGCTGGAGGGGATGCCACCTAGGAATGACCGAAAAATAAATAAATAGGACTTATCAGGTCGGACAGTGGGTTCAGTAGCACAGTGGTAAGTGCTCGACTTGGCAGTCCGAAGGTATCGGGTTCGAATCCCGATCAGAACTCATAATTTTTCGGAAATTTCTAGCCCTCTAGCGCTCCCTGGCGGCTCAATGGATAAAAATTAATTATAGCGGGGACGAGCCGAGCCGGATACCCCGTTATAATACATATGCATTATTACTCCTGATCATCGATAGTGCACGGCAGATTTTATTGATTGGATATAGCAAATACGATACTACGTAGATGAATTTGACATTAGGTCCTTAAAGTATCAGTAATGATAACCATTGCCAAAAACAAAATGAATTACCAGAATCAATGAGATTTCACGATACAATTGACCCCAAATGTCATTACAATGCCAGGGGTTAAATATCTTTAATAAATTGTCAATTCTGATTCTCAATCAAAAAAATATCTCACGGACGTATATTCGATATTGAATATTATTAGCAAACCTATATTGACTTTTCTTAAGAATTTCTAAACTATTATCATAAATTGCATTCGTTTCTCGAGGATGCTATAATAAAGATGCTCTACGTAAATACAGGAAGTAATGCTATGGGTCAAAAATCCCATATCTTAAAATTTGTAGTAGAACCTTCAAGCTCTCATACGTTATATGTATATGAGCCAGTTTGATCGGAAGACTTAGATCGGCATTGCATCATGATCATCGGGCGAGAACCCACGAACATAATTCTCTCAAGTATTAGGGGCAATGGAACTAATTCGTATAATCAAAGACTGTTCCGCTTGAGTAATGCGATAACGATATTTAACATTGGGAATACATAACGTTATGACGAAGTAATGGACATGCGACTAATCAGTTTATCAAAATTAAAACATGGGATTTATTGAAACTTAATATAATGCACAAAATTTTTCGGCCATGATAACCTTCTGCGTAGATAATTCGTAATTCTTTTAAATGCTGCATGATATTTCGCTCGTAGCACTGCTGAACTAATTCTGTATGTCGTAAATAGGGTATAATTTTTCTTCTCAAGTACTGACCTTGTCACGATGAAATAGGATGACTAGGGCTGATATGTTGCCGATGACACCGGTGAAGTAGACCAGAGTTAAAATAATTTGAGAGGCAAACGTTATGTGTCTTTTTGATACTGGTACCATTATATTAGGTATAATCACGGTCGAGGTTACTTCCAGATGGGACATTGAATCCATAGTATCGTTCCACGCTTTGTTCACCAATTCATTCATTTTTGTATTAGATTGAAGTGTCTGGTAGAGATTCGATCAATCCTTCTTAAGGATCTTCTAGATCTAAAAATGAACACTGGGCACTTTTCGAAAGGCAAATTCACACTGATTTCTATTACAGATTATTATTTCTGTTTTATCAAGACTAGTTTGTACATTTCTTGTGAACACAAAAATTCTGTTTGATTTATACTGTTAACGATTGAGTAATCCCTACTTCCTCTCACGATAAGGCATGTAAATTTTGTGAATACGTAAATTTCTTTTATTTTGATAACAATGTTTGGATCTTGATTCCGTTGAAATTTTTCCGAAAAAATCTCTGTTTGGCATAGGATGACTTGTTTTTGGTATCTTTAATTTTTGTTTTAAGGAATCATTTGACAAATCTCTCACGCCGATCTTCGTATACAGTCTTCTTATTGCCGTTCAGTGTTGTTCACGTTGGGTTTTGATCTTCCTAGAGAATCTGGCAACGCCGCACAGGGCCCTTCGTCCAGCTCTACCTGCTAATGCTGAGCCTAATCTTTGACGTATGAACTAAAAAATTGTCCACGGAATACCAGTCGTTCACTTTTGTCCCACGTTGAAGAGAAAACGGAAGATTTATCCCGAGCTGAGGAAAGTCTCAGTAGAAGTCAAGGGCAGTGTCGGACTTACTTGCGTTTTACGTAAAATATTACGTTTTACTAGACAATACGTTCTTCTCTTGCACATCGAATTATCGTAAACTTCAATTATCACGATGTTTCTATATTCTCATTGCACGATCGATCTTTTCTCGCTCATGCAAGTTTGGCAGAATATCGTTCTCTCAGTATAAGAAAAGAATAAACCATCGATTCCTTAACTGAGCAGCAACTATCGTCAACGAATCGTATGGTGACTGCGACATGAAACTGACAAAAATCGGATGATCTTTGTAGCACAGCTGCCGCCTCACTGATCGAATCCACGCGTTGCCTCCGAGTTTTGTTTACGATGCTCCGACTTGCCAGCCGATCAGTGCGCATTAGCCCCGCGCATTTTATTCAATGGACGTTAACCAATTCCTTTTTTTATGACTGGTATCGCCATTGGACTATTTTATTTTCAAAATTACCGCCAAGCTCACTTCGTATTTCAACCTAAAACACAGAGTCCTGTTTAATTTTACTAAATTTACCGACGTTCAAAAAGCAGGCGTTGTTATTCGAAGACTTTCCCGGTTCAAACTCCGTTATATTCGCATCGCCCTGGAACTAAATATGAAGGAAGAACCGCTCCGTTATCGAAGCACTTATAACATGGCTAAATGTTATCTGCGGTAACAAGTTCCGAGGAAAATGTTTAACGGATGCGAACAGCACAGAGGCCATTATAGGTTTTATAGAATTCCTACTTCATACATTTCAAATAAATATTACGTGTAAATAGTCCCTTTGAAAGATTCTCAAACGATATGAACCATGAGTTGAATTCGTTCTTTTTTTCGTTCAAAGTATATATGTATAGTTTTAGACCCGACCTTCAACTAACTTTAACAATAGTCAGTTTCCTGATGATTTTCGTATAAAAACGATGCATGGGATTTATTGAAGAACTTTTATCGCTCTTCTGTTATTGCCTCATAGTTCCCTCGTGAAGTTTCAAGGATGTTCCGAACCCATCATAAAGATATAAAGCATTAGCGTTTAATGAAAGGAGCATAGGGATGACACTTATTTGATTTTTATCGATAGATGAAATAAACACGCGTGCGATGTAATCGCCAATGATATCGCGCAATGTGCGAAGTATTCTCGGGGATTCGGAACGCAAGAAGGCACTCACAATTTTTATAACGGCCCCCAGAAGATGCCTCAAGGAATTTTGATGAACTTCGAGCATTTGTCAAGATTTGGAAAAGGTCCAATACTGGAGAAACTGTACGTGCAAAAATGCCAGCTTTGTATAAATTGCCAGGAGAACCAAACAGTAAAATGGAAATTTCAAGCGACTGGAATTCGCCTCAACGCGTTCATTTTAAGGTTAGGTTTTACTTAGTGTGTTACAATATTCTGCCAGGGATTTTAAAAGTTTGATACATATTTTGGCATGATTTTCAAAAATTGCATATCGATTCGAAATAACCATATGAATGTATTATGGGATGATAATCAGAATGAATTAAAAATAGAGATCTATCTTTAAAAATACTCGCGTCCATTCGAGGTCGGTATATACGTATGTACATGATCTTTAATTCACGCATTCCTTGCGGCTGAGTTATCGGCAAGCAGAACCTAAGAATTCGAATAACGATAAAGGATCCTAATCCGGAGCTCTATTGGCCTACATATTTTCGTGCCTGAAAGCACCATCGAGTGTCAATGCTAAACAAGTGGAATATATGCAATCAAAAGTTTCGAAGGTTTCAGTCTGAAGACTTAATAAATCGCTAAACCGTAGTGAAGCTTCAGCGATTTCCAATTCAGAAAAATTATCTTTCAGAATTTCGAGTAGATCTTCGCTCTTTACCATGCAAAATGTTTCGCGGCGCACAAGCATTTCGCAGAAACTATACACGCTCAATACGTGCAAGCATCTACCTTTAGTACAGTGGGCCTCTCTTATGAAAATGTAACGCGGCGTCCGGTAATGCTAATAACATAATTCTTACAATGGAAACTGTCCACTGGCTTATCGAAGGTTTTATCCGTTGCGAGCTTCGAATACGAATCGTCACTGATGGTCATAAGGGATGGCGCTGATATATTAAAACAAACTGAAAAGCACGGCTTCTATTTTATCGAGCCTCCTGGCGTGAATACACCAAGAGCTACGTCCGAGTAGAATTATTGCTATCTGGCAGGCGCCGTTAAGCTGCCACGTTTCTGTCATTCTAATTATCACGGCAGTCATGCTATTGGCAATGTTCATAAACGGTAGCTATGAGTTTTCGTACACTTGACATTTTTATGGAGTTTAATGCAAACATTTTAATTCGAGACACGAACGTTAATTGTTTTTAAAGAAATGTCAATGATCGTTCAAATGCATTGAACGATGTCGAAATATATCGTTAATTCAATTGATATTGCATAATTCGGAACGTCGTCCAATAAGCCATTGCGCATGAGAATTAATTGAGGAAATAAAATATAAAGTCACCACACAATAAAATATGCATATGGAGTCGAAGAAAAAGAAACCCAGACTAAAATCAATTTTAAAATGTCCAAAAGTTAGCCTCTGTTTCATTACATGTCTTTAAGACGACTTTTTGATGGTGTCTTATCTGGGGGATTCCATTTATGTAAAAAAGTCCTGAAATTAACTCGGAATGGCTTAGTATGAACATACAATGGAGCACACTGAAAGGGATGCATATGTATATGGAAATCAATTTGAATTTATAATGTTAATATCGATGAGAAAAATTCTTGCATAACGATCCCATCGTTAATTATTCGTATGGATTTTACACGTGACAAGCATATTGTGCAACTGTAACATAAAAATCATCTAATTATGAGATACTTTGTTACACCGTGACAATTGAGAGAAGGTAACGCACTTTTGTTTGCAGGCTCCACCTACTCTGCCAACTTCTGAAACCGTTGCGACGCTTCACCACGACGTCGCATCTTCAGCTACTACAAATCTAACTTTAGATTTATTCCCGAAATAACCACTGTCTTCGGTTCTCTTCCTTCATACCGTGCTTCACTTTAGTTGTGACCTGCCTTTTTTGAATTTCACAAGCCTTTCGGATACACCTGACTTTCATCTGGTAAATATATTCATAGCGATAGGACACTCGATGTTTGAAAAGCTTTATCATAAAACGTACGACATCTCTATACTCTTCGTTCTCCCTGAGTTCTGCTTAGTAAACCGTTTTTGAGGATACCAGAATTTCGGAATCCAAAACGGTACCAGTCCACACTGTTTTACGCACTTCTGAAGAGAGACCTTTGTTCTTGAGTCATTTTACATTATAGAGATTTTTGAATTCTTCATTCGTTATAATACTACTGGTAAATGATCCATAAAAATATGTTACATTTTAAAATGCATAATAGATAATGACATGGACGCACGGTAGAAAGAACAAAAAATGGAATGAAAGAAGGGATACTTAGATTTCGCATAATCTTCTAAACAACTTTTATAGACATTCGTTCTCCTTCGATGCGCTACCAAGTGCTGAGACCGTTTGTTTCCAATGGCGGCATGGATTAATTTTGCTGCTGTTTGATCGTTAAGCTCCATCTATATAAGATTAAACTTATACTGTCATCGCGATTTACAGATATTTGGATAATGGATAGCGAGGTTTCTGAAATCGTTGAAACTTTAACTGCCGAAACGGTTAAGGAAGAGAACGAGGTAAGTGTGCTAAACCTGTAACATGTAGCTGTTAACCTTAACATCCGTTTTGCCTACTGTGTTTGCTCAGATTCCTGGGTATAAAATATTTATACATATTTGTAACCAGTTATTAAATTTGTTCTAAAGTTCAATTAAAGTGCTTTTCAGTTGTATAATCAACATTTTGTATTGAAATTCTATTAGCCATGCGTTATATTTACCTTGATACCTTGGTATTGTTATGATTTAAAACATTTTATTTTGTTCAATTCAAATCATATGATGTTACTGTTTCAGACAAAGCCAAATGATTATGTTAAAGATAAAAAAAATTTCAAAAAGGATGGATCCAAAAAGAAAGATGACAGGAGTGCAGAACGAGTGTTGAAGAGTCTTAGTAATCTTGAGAGTTCTGAAGAGAAATTAGTAGCTATGTGTAAAAAATATTCTGAGGTTATCGATGAAAATCGAAAGTTACAATTGGCCTTAAAACAATCAGAGAAAAAAGTAATTATGATACAACGTGAGAAGGAACAAGTTCAAGCTGAACGTAGTAAAGCTGTTTTAGCTCGAAGTCGACTGGAGAGCCTATGTCGAGAACTTCAAAGACAAAATAAAGCAGTGAAAGATGAAAGTTTATTGAGAATTCGAGAAGAGGAAGAAAAACGTAAGGAATTCTCTTCACAGCTTCAAAATGCTTTCACTGAAGTAACCGCACTTATGAATCAATGCAAAGAAAACAATAGTGCTATGGAAAAATGTCATGCAACCAGTGTCAAAACTTCAAAGAATTTTGACATTATGTGTAAACAATATGATCACAGCTTGCGCATAATAAAACAGTTAAACGAACAAATGATACTAGAATCACAATTACATGAAGCAAAATTAGCGAAGGCCAAAATGGAAATGACAGCTGAAAAGGAGGCGTTGTTAAAAGAAAAACAGCAACTTTTATTGGTGATGTTACAATATTATTTTGTATATCTAATCAAACTTCAGTATGTTCATGAAAAAATATTATAAACTATGTTACAGAATTTAACCGAGCAACAGATGCAGATAGGAGAATTGCAGGCAATGGAAACTAGTCTACGAAGTGAGCTTAGTATATACACTGATAAGTACGATGAATTCCAAAATGCTCTTACGAAAAGCAATAGTGTGTTTGGTGGATTTAAAGAAGAAATGGAGAAGGTAAGTTCTACAGGCATTAAATATTTAGCAGTATTGATTTTTGACCTATTGCTTTGCTACGACAGATGTCAAGTCAAATATTGAAACTTGAAATGGAAACGCGAACGTGGAAACAACGTTGGGAGAACAGTCAAACGGCTCTTTTAGAAATGGCAGCGGACAAACAACAGAGGGACGCCGAATTTGCAACAACCTGTAAAAAATTGACACAACTCAAACAATTATGTAGAACGCTGCAAAACGAAAGAACATCTCTATTAGCACAATTAAGAGAAACAAATACGACGACCAACCAGAAATGTAACGAACAGACTGAAACGCGGGAAAGCACGGAGTCGCCGATTAAGCAACAGGATGTTGAGTCTAAGGATGAGGAACAGCCACAGGATAAATTAACTGAAAATGACCCCTTGGCTGAACCGGCGAAACAGGAAGAACAAGAGAAAGACCAACAAGAAGAGGAAATTACAGATAGCCAAAATAAAACTGATGATGAAGAGCAGCACAGCAACACTAGACAAGCAGAAATTGACACACCAACGGAAACTGTCGAGGATTCGTTACCGATTGAACATCAAGAAAAATCACAAATATCATCTGAGAATAATGAACCAACCCTTCCCGCGGAAACGGAAGTCGCAACGCAACATGAATGTGAGGAGGAAGCCAAACATAGCAGCCCTAAAGGATGAAACTTGATTTAACGTGGACAAAACAAAAAAGGTACGCACTGTGTAATACATATTATTTTGATCGTAAATAGAAAACGGTACTATATTGTCAAATGTTATTGTTGAAAATATATTCGTACATCGATAATAATTTAATGTTCCCGTGTTATCCTGTTTCGCTTCAGGAAGAGAAGGAGACAAAATGCGAGTATTTTCTTGAGACCAAAATCCTACACCGAACTGCAAAGTACATCTACTCATGTACTACAAAGCCAAATACAAATCAAAATTGAAATGATCCCTTATTTATTCGTATGTATAAGGAAAGCTAATAATTTCGAGAATATTTGACACGATGGTAGTATTATTATTGTCACCGTGTAGTGATAAAACCACCAATTATAAATCTGGACGAACCTGCTAGTGTTAGCTAATCATGTAAGAATGTTGATGATTTTGTGTAGTTTTTCACGCGAATTTTCTAATGCGATTTATTGATTAACGAAATAAATTAACCAATTATCTCATATTTTAGTTAGACTGTTAGGCAATAGCAGTCTGTACAACGTGTTTTGATAAAACTATTATTTTATAATATCAGTGCAATTCATATCTTCCTAAAAATTGTAAGAAATTTTTTTGTTGTCATTTCCATTTCAATGCAAATATATGTGGAGCTACATTGAATTCTGTTGCGAATTTCCTAATTTAAGCCTGCGTTAAACATCCAATGCCAATCGTTATAACGATATTTTTCGTTTTCGATCAAGCATTGAAAGTCAGTGTAGCGTTATTATCGCAGAATATCAATTATTTTACTTTTACCTTGTATCGCAGTTAGCACATAAACGTTTAAAAATTTCATTTGCGTAATATAATTTTCAGTTTTATCTCTAATATATTCTATGACCTATTAGAATTTATAAATTCTAATTATTTGAATATCGCGTCACTCCTATCCTCTCTTCATAATGCCATGGCCGCATCAGAAATCTTCTTAATCAACTCCATGCTGTTAAGGGAATGAAGAGAATTAATCCTCGACCATTGACGAGATTGCAAACTGTCTTTATCCTGGTAGAAAGGTTCCAGTTCAACCATGAACCCTGAACGACAATGACCATCTAGAATAGTCAAGTGTATAATGGTACCTCTTACAAATTAGATTGAATTATAGATAGAACGATATGATGATATTGAATTATAGGTAGATCGCTTGAATGAAAGTACACTTACTACAATGACATCGTCAACTTTCGGAAAATCAATTTGATTCTTTTGTGAAAGCAAAAAAATACTGCTACACTTTTGAAAGTCACGTTCAGCGTTCTCTATATAATAGTTTAAAATTTCAATTTTACTTAACAAAAATTCGACTGTCCATGCGTGGCTATATTATCGTTATCTTAATTCTGCACAAAATCACTTCTCCACAGATCCCAAGCACAGTCCAATTTTTTGGAGTGTCCACTAACAACAGGATCACTTGGCAGTCTCCTCTCTAACTACCGGTGAACAACAATAAAATTGAGCGGACGACAGAGTGCTTTCTCCTGGAAGCTATATAAAACAAACAGCAGGAAATTGTAACACGAAAATGCTAAACTATCGCCCGACAAATCTCTCTATACTCTGTTCCTGCTAAGATATTGAAAAGTCATTGAGAAATCACTCTAACCAAAATATCCACAAAAATTCTTGTTCCATGACTAATTATGTCACCGAGCAGATCAGGATCGGTCCAATGGCAATGAAACTTTGATCCTCAAAGCAGCATCCGTTTGCCCTATTGCGTTCGGCGTTTCTCTCGATGAATATGCTGCGATCCCGTTATCGTTTCGTCCCAGTGGGTCAGCAGCACCTTGCCGCACATTACCGAGCATTGGTTCGTATCAGTTTGGTTCGACTTATGGCCACTGGGCAGGTCTCGTGTATTAAAGTTGGAGGGGTCTAGCGCATGGGCCCTCCTCGTCTCTTCTGGGACTCTGAAAGTGCCTCGTGTGCTTTTCTCCGTTGGACATCACGCAATATTAGTTCCCGCGAGCACGACTAAGCTATCGCACGTATTCTACACTCACTGCAGGATACATCCTCCAGTTCTATCTCTGCAGTCGCTGTCCGATCGGCCGACCGATACACAACGAACTTGATCTTTGATAACGCGTCGCTCAATCCTTGGGCTGGATCCGTTTTCGAGGGTATTTTGTGATCGAATAAACTAACCTGGATTAAGTCATGAAGATTGCTACAACCTTATTTCTCTTCGTAGTCGTCGGTACGTAAGGATCCACTGTCTTTATTATTCAAGCACGTAATTGCCGTCTGCACTAATTTAAAGGGCAATTATCAGGCTAAATTACGACAATTTCTGTAATACACTTTTTCTATCGTCGAGTCTCTATACTGGGAATCGGTACAGTCTTTTTCAATCGGAAAGACCCTTTAACAATTCTGATTCTATAGTTACCTTGATTGAGACTCACGTATTTACCAATGCAATTTCTCTGTATACTGTAGCTCTCTGATCCATTTAATATTATGCCTTGTACTATACATAATTTTTTTATTCTGTGCTATTGACTTCAGAACCACTGGACTGACTATTCTCTGACTTTCAATTAATTCACTGACATCTCTCTTTACTGTACTAACGAACTTCGGTAGATGCTGATCTCTTTTGAAATGCTGTAAATATTAAATAAATATATATATAGACACTATGTAAATTCTACCTGGAATATTACTCACTCGACTGTACGTCGACCTGCCTTCTTCACCACACTCGCACACTCGATTCTCCATTTGGAATCCTATTCATTGGTTAGGATGCAGGAGTAGGTCAATCAATTTCGACTACCTTTGTCGATTTTTACGATCGAGACACGCGCGTCGATCTTCCATGACGTGAATTCTCATATATATATATATATTTACCGGAGGAAAATTTAACATCGAGCGACATGCGCCAATTACGACAAGGAAAGTTTTCTCAGGGGAACGATCGGTCATTAGAAATATTGAAATATCCGAGATCTAAATGGAAAGTGCGAAAATACGTTCATACCTGATTATTGGACTGTAATCAGTTGGAAAAAGAGAAATTGAGGAAACGTACAATTATATTGACAGTCAATGATTATCTGAGTTCATGAACCGACAAAGGAGACATCGTTGCATTGGCTAACAGTCATTCTTTGAATTTTAATAATTATTCAGATTAATCATAGAAAATTACTAGCCAATCATTAAATATCTTTCACGTGAAAGTATAAACTACGAGTGAAATTGAAAAATCTAAAGAGACACGTGTTGCTCTGCTAAGCATTGTTTTTGCTGTTTATCTGAAAATAGACATTCAGGGAATTGGGTTAGACTGTCTGTGTTAATATTTTAATATTTCAACCAAGGACCAGACACTTTCTATGCGACCTCGAGAAGCAGAGTTTTTCAATAGAGTCGCGAATGAATGGCTAATAACTTGAGGAAACAAGTTTTCTTAAGTCTTTGCCAAGTAATTCCCTATAATTTCTCTAAAGCGTCAAACGTGAGTAGCTCACGACTTCGTCGTGCAAAGTCCATTGAGAAACTTCTATGAGAGCTTTCAGTCGATTTTTGTCTCCAATAATTTTCTTCGAGTATTTCCTGCGAGATTTTTCAATTCCTGAATCCACGTTGCGTTACCTAATTTCGTTCATCGACCGCGCCGAGTATCGTCCGGGCATTCTCTCTGCGTTCGTTGTGGGTCAGTAGGTCGTCAAAATTCGTGTGTATTCGTAAGTGGATTTCTGTAAATAAATTTAAATCGTATTCGAACACGTCGTAGTAATTTTCAAGTACTTTTCAGTCAAGGTGAAGGCCGAGCCTGAGAAACTGTTACGTTAGATGTCTGATCTAATTCCCTCTATTGTTCTTACAGTAAATTCTAGTTAGCTCTGTTCTAAGCAGGATCTCAATGTGAACAAAACAAACAGATGTGTTCCAGCCTGACCTAACCTAACTCTGGAGTTTAATTGCAATAGGTACTACAGTCACGGAATTGAATACTTGTCAATCGGTTGAATGAAATGTGACAACAAGTTGCGTTTCCGTCATCATAATGATAAATATCTGTAGTAACACTTATCATTGGGTTACGTGAGTACTGGCATCAGTGAAAGTCTCCAGTATCAAAGTACGGGACAATTACAAATTTGCGTATCAAAAATACTTTCTATCGGGTGTCAAGAAAATTCATCTAAAATTTATTATAATCTAAATGAATATCGAGGAATATAATTTTAACATAATTTCTAGATTGTTTGGGTAAAATCATTTTTTTTTTAATATGAAAGTTGTTTCGGAATGATGAGCAATACTTGTACCTGGCTGTGTCGTGGGTCGCTGTCGTTGTAGAACGTTTAGTCAGGTTTGAAGTAGGTCACTAGGCTATGGCCCGATGGCATGCCACCGATCCGACCAATCCGGCTAAGTCTTTTTCCAAAGACTTCCGGAAGTCCGTTGGTTTCGTTACTTTTAGTCTAGGTTTTAAAAATGAGGATCGATTATTTGACATGGAGAATTGGAGTGGCTAGCGTATATATTCATTGATATACATAACTGGCAGCTGAATATTTTTTTATTTACGATACGATCGATGACCCATTGATCGGAAATCGTAAACTCATAGTGAATCGATAATTGACTAGTATAAACGAAGTGGATCAGTTAGAGCACGAATAGTCAATGGAGAGGGACTTTTGCCTTCTACGGGCATTAATCTTCAAGTGCGTCGAGCGGATTCAGATGACAGAACGGATAATAGTGGAAATTCTTGTTTCGCGGAATATACATAAAATGTGAATTATAATGTTAAATAGGTCAGGAATCACATTCATTTGAAATTCATACTGACCTACAGTGACGCATCTAGGAAAATATGTTTAAAAAAAAAATGAGATCATGCATCTTGTGGAATATTATGTGAACGACTCAATGTCGATTTGAAGCAATGAAAAATGTTTAATAGAAATTTCATGAAAATTTTGAAAAATTGCGAATGACTAGAAACGTGAGACGGTACTTGAACAGACGTGAAAATCCATAGCACAGAGTATAAAATTTGGAAATTCCAGAAAGACATCGCTCTAAAAAGATGGTGTTTTTTTTCCGATTTGGTTCTAGGCTGCACGTGGCGGGAGACTGTAGGCACTTGTGTGCTGGAATCGGACTTTGGTTTCAAGCTTAACTGCGCCTTCAAAAAATCCGGCCTCTTCCGGGTTCGAAACCTCGGAGGTGTCAAAGGTTATGTTGGTCTCGGTGAGTCTTCGACCGATTGAAATCGGTTTTTTTCCTCCAAATTTTCCAAAAAAGTCAAAAGAAGGTGTGCCTTCCTGTCGATCGATAAGAAAATCGTAATCGATAAAATGCGCATTGGAACGCCGAAGATAAATTACTCTCGTCCGAAGCCGTTTAGGTGACAATTAATGTGATAAGAGTAATCAGCACTAATTTGGCATTGCGTAGAAATAATGTCCTTGAGTACGTGAGAGTAAGGAGAAGGTGACGGGAAAATGAAAGTTGTGCCTAAACGACCAAGTTTTACGTTTGGTGAAACAATTTTGTCGAGATGTTCGCGTGGTTACGAAATTTCCTATTTTTCAGCGTAATTACAATAGATTCACGTATAACGAACATTGTGCACTGCCTTAAGGTCGCCCAATGATAAACAATGCCCCGAGGCATCCGTACGTCAAATACAAATTGAAAGTACAAAACTCCTAGTACTAAACCAAACTGTTCTCAGCTGTTTAATAACAAGTGACCTCGCCACTAATTCTACTTGCTTTCTGATGCACCGCTCTGAGCTTTCCAAGTAAACCTAATTAACCTAATTATTACGAACGAATGAGAATCCAAAAAAGAAATACACTAACCATTATGAATTTTCGGTGTGTTGCAATCGATTACGTTTTCGAAATGTCCGATCCCAAATTCAAGCTGGGACAACAAGTATTACTCAACCTCAGACGTCGATGCCAAAATTATCATAATTTTTTTTAATTATTCACCACTATCGGAACCTTACGATTTTTCGTCCACGCTATTTCAAAATATCACAGCTCATCTTCTGGCAGCATTCATGACCGCGATGCAAATTCTTTGGACATTCGTGTAACGGGAATTGTGAAACTCATGGTGCCTCTTTAAAGAAACGATCTTTAACATATATCCTTGTAGTTCGATATCCAATTCGCGAGATCCTAGAGAACGTAGAACGACGACTAACGATCCCTGACTAATTACCTTATACAACTAATAGCTTTGCAATGGCAATGGATGCACCTGTTGCTCAAGTATCACGCACGGTGAGTTACGTGCGTCAAATGACGAACGATTTATCTCGTCATGGGTTAAAAGAGATATTGCCATGGAAAGTTGACAGTGGAGGAAGGAACACAGGAGAGAGAAAAATAATGGAAAAATATGGAAATAACTAGAAAACTATCTCTGTTACGTAAATCGGATTTAGCATGCTTATAAAAAATAAAACTCTATCTTACATAATTCCTGCGTACGTCCACGTTAAAAAATCGGTTTTAAACTATCCGAAATATTTTTTGTAAAAAAAAAGGATTTCACTCGGCACAGAATCTTATCCGATATTTAATCTCTATTTAATTATACGATCGAGTATTGTTAACGCATTGCGATATCATTTTCTCACGTTTACTCGAACTAGCATGAATTTCCAACCTGCTATTTTCTCCTTGAATTATTCCGAGCAACAGAGTTCATCGGCAATTAATGTTCTTTATGATTTCTTACTCGTATGGCGAATCCTCAATATTATATCTAGCCTTAAGGCTGTATGTAAAGTTAGACCTTAGGCTTGCGACAGTCGTTGCACTCCAACCTACTTTTCTACTTGCTGTAATAAATTCAGAAAAAAATTCTCAGCCAAGGATGAATATCCTTACTCGTCGTTATACGATCTCAATACAGTCATTAATTACTTACTACTTTCTAGATAATTTTATCATACTTTGGAAACAAAAAAAAAAGATAATTTTGTGGATGGTACATGATTATAGCATTTTCAATAATCTCGATTGTCCCTTTTCTGTTTTTCTCATAATTTCACTTTGTCAATTTTCGTAAATCGTGAATTCTAACCTTTCGACTCGGTTCCCTCAAGTCATTCGCAATTCCCATGTTCCAGGATTCTCCGTCGGTGACGAACTTGGATTCACGGAATCGCTGTCCAATCTCGAAAGCAGCAAGAGAAGAAGCGTTCAAGCAGGCAGAGGAAATGCAATACCAGTTGGTTCTGGAAATGTGGTAATTAGTTAATATTCCTCATGGTGGTCCCTGTCAAATAATATTTCAATCTTACAACGTATAAACGAGGAACAGCCTCTACAGGCTACCTTGGCTTTCCTCAAATTTTTTACTGACCTATTTATCTAGTTCACTTTTTCATTGGGTGATTGTGAAATTCCGTAGTATCGAAGCAAAAGTGACTTTTTCTCTTAGGACCATCTCTTTACTCTCCCTCATCTTGTTTTCGCTGTCACGATCAAAGTGGAAGATTCGTTGACTCTTCGAAAATTTTACTGCATCCGTCGATACTGTAGTGTTTGAAAAATGTTCACTGCGCTGTGCGTTCGCAAAAACTGTACTCGCAACTAATTTTAGTCGAGCAACGTGTACGAGGTTGAGTGCGTTCATAAAATTTTCTGCTCATAACACGATAATATTGTTTGCGTTGTATATTAAATAGCCAATTTTCTGAGGATCTTTTTTAAATCGTCAGCCACAACTGCCGATATCATCGTCCACTTGTTGTGGGTTTTATGCTGTGTATTTTTATACAGCATAATGCTACGGGTAATGATACAGTTTAGAGTTAATACGGTAACTGTTCTTAGCCAAGAACGGGACTTTTATGCAGTTAGTTGTTCTCTGCTTGGATTATGAAATGCTATAGGTTAGTTCTAAAAGTTCTCATCAAGTATGTATTAACGGCCTTGTCGTAATTGGTGCGTGAATGTAAGTATCGTTCGTACTAAGCCGCGTTCAGAAAGAAACGAAATTAAGAAATAGTTTACTTGGAATTTAAAATCTGAGATCGATGCTTTAGGAATTGTGTATGGAGATCATTTTTTTTTTTTTTTTTTAACAAACATGTAAAATATAATTTCCAACGATAACAATCTGACGTATAATTTTCTTGAGTATTATTTGAAATTAGTGCAGCGTGTGAACACAGCATTAAAAGGAGTCGATTCTAGCTATTCTTAATCGAATATCACAAGGCTGAACTACTTTCATTTCATAATCCTGCATATACTGCGGTATGTATAGGGAACTTCATCAAGGTACGATTTTACGTGTTACTGCAGTAAATTCGTTTCAGTCTCGTTTAAGGCATCGATATCATCTGCTATTCACTATAATATTATATAATTTTACGGTGGACCACTGTCACTGTTGGGGTCAACGACCCGCTTCTGTTGTGTAGAAAGTTTTAAATAATTTTAGTAGCTAAAATGATCCTAATTTCTTGCCTGTTTGTAAGTTTGAAATAAAATGTGAAATCGTCTTGTAGCTTATGTCGTTGACGAAAATTCGTTCACCCCTGTTAATGTTTTTCATTGAACTTTTGCAGGCCAATCGTCGTCAGGTTTCCCAAAATACGCGAACGGTTCCTCCGTTCAAGCCACTGCCACCTGGAGCAGCACGTCCAATGGCTCAACAGCCTGAACGCCAGAGACTAGTGGTACAGCAGAATTCCACTGCGTTGAGAATGGTACCGGCGCCATCTTTCGCAGTGATGCAGGAAGAGGCGATGCGTCAGCAACAGCGGATGCAGCAGGAGGAAAAGAACAGGCAACAGCAAAGAATGCAGCAGGAAGCACTGGCGCTGCAGGTTCTTAAGCAGCAACAGGCACAGCAGCAGGAAGCAATGAGGCAGCAACAGATGCAAAAATTGACTCAGCAACAGAATGTTCAGGATCAACTCGTTGCTATGCAAACTAGGCGGATTCAGGTGCGATGAGGTTGACTCGGAGAAACAATACTTTGCATCATCTGCCAATTGTCGTCTCTTTTATTCACGCTGGCTACTGTACAAATTGATGCACTGTTGACCTCCATTTTTATAGTGGCAAAACTACTGAGACACGTGTCCGGCATTTCCAATGATAGCTCTAATTTCCTCTGTGATACTTCACGTTGATTGATATACATATTCTAGTACCAAGAGGAAAGATGCCGCAGTGCTCATAGAAAATGCACTATTTTTCATGTGAATAAGTAAAATTTTGCAAATTATTCCTTTCGCAGTTGGCACAGAGTATGGCGACTGCAGGTGCTGCAGGGACCCCTCTAAGAATGCCACATATCGTAACAGCAATTCCACCTGCAGGAAGTGTCCTCAACCCAGATATTGCTCAATCATTACCAAAGCCTATGGTTGGTGTTATTGCACCAGGAAGTGGTTTACCTCCATTCATTGCAATGCCAAAGTCATCGGCTCAGCTTACCGATAGAATTAGCAACAGTCCAGTGTTGCTGGAAGAATCCGTCAATGAAGTTGAAAAGAATGAATTTAGTCAGGTAACATCGAACTTTTCAATATCTTTTGATTATCGCTGGTCAATCCAGTCTCTTAATGCATATATATTGCATAATGCATCTAGTTGCCGATTCCTGATGACGAAGCAATCTCAGCAGTAAATCAACTGACTCTTCGCTCGATACAGCCGGCCGCAGCTGCACAGGCACTGCAATCAGTTCAGCAACAACAAAACGAAAAGCAACAAAGTTCAAACCAAGCGTCGTTATCCCTTGCATCGATACAAAGTATGGAACCGTCGCTAAAGGCTCTTGCCGAAGCCAGCAATATTACTCTGGAAGCATTGGAAACAGCAATTTTATTGAGACAGCAACAATTAATGCAAAAGCATCAGGAACGAACAACCACGTCTACTACTACATCCACGACGACGCAATCTCCTGTAAAAAAGTACTTAATTAATTTTTTAATTACTTCCACCCCATCTTGAGATATTCTCTTCTCTTACCATATTTATTGTACCTACAGTAGGTACAACTATGCTGCACCCACGAAAGTCATGAATGCTCCACGAGAATATTATCCCATGGGGTATGACAAGAATTTTGATGACAATTTTGCCAGCCGTGTGGATTTACCAGACACGAGCTTCTATTGTGGCGACCAAAAACATTTCCCAGGACTTTACGCCGACGAAGATCTTGGTTGTATGGTAAATTGTCGAATAACTGGATTGCTATTTATAACCCAAAACAATAGTAACGTGTATGGATAATTAAATTTGTCCTTTGTTTGCATTAGGTATTCCACGTTTGCGCTTTGACAGATGATGGACTGATAATGAAGAGCTTTTTGTGTCCTGAGTCAACTCTCTTTGATCAAACTATTCTTAAGTGCAATTGGTGGTTCTACGTAGACTGCAAAGCTTCGAAAAATCTGTACGACAGCAACATTCCTATCAGTAAAAGTTATCAGCTGATGAAAGCCCTGGCTTTTTTCTCAGGCTATAAGAGTCATGATAACAGTACGGAATCTGCAGTCGACAATGAAGGATCCTGAATGTCCTAAGCTTATCTTAAGGAAGTAGCGTAATGGCATTTTAGGACGAAAGTGTTGAGCTGTATTTAAACTCTGATGAAGGAAAGTGTTACGTGGGAATTGGCTGTTTTTATCTCTATTTTTTTTTCTTTTTAACGCCGAGCATAGAAACGTTGATTTTCTATGAAATTCGACGCCTTCTTTTATCGTCTTTTCAGCATAACAGGTCAACATTTTCTATCTGTTCGTCTGGGTTTAAAACGTAATGCTTAATAGATCTTGAACTACGTTCCAGTGGGAATAACGACTACATGTATGTAGTATTTGGTGGATGATTTTCGGTGTGTGTACGTAATAGTAGAGTCAACTTGGCGTTCGACTTAATCAAAATAACTTCCTAAGCCGTCGTTTCAAGAGAAACGGACGATACGTAGATTTCCTTGTATTAACATGGCATTTCAAAAGTAATTGTTACTCTTTAAGACACGCTCAGGCCCTTGCCTTTATTTATAAGAGTGTATATATATAAATAATTTATTTAACTATTAAGTAACTTTGTATACCTTGCTCCAAAAAGAACTTTGTAAATAGCTGACATGGCTGTCATTAAAAAGCAAAAACGGATGGATTTGTTGAGTAATTGCTGAATTTCTCCAAACACACATACACACACCTAACCGATACTCGATCGAAATCGATTGATTTTCATTTCTCAACAAAGTATGATCTAACAGTGGTGCGATGAAAACAAAAGCTGTAAAGAGAAAAGAGAAGAGAGTAAATGGCAACAACATTTTATTGAAGGCCAAGTCGCTCGACGCGATATGACCCAAGACAATGACAATCAGAGATGCGTCCTAGGACGTTCGCTCTTATGTTAATATAAAAACGGCGTAACAAACTAGATACACTTTAACAGTTATGTATGAAGAGGAGTGGTGTGCACGATGGTTAGTACTGCGATGAGAATGATCCTTCGGAGCACCGGGAAAATATCCTAGTAGTGGTACCCCTGGTAATCGAAACTGTCCCCCGATAATGGAGCCTGATGAAGACTGGCAGGATGGTGGCCTGCGGCAGCAGCCGCAGCTGCGCTGGCCGCATGTGCCGCAGCAGCAGCAGCGTTGTTCTGAGCGGTCTGAGCAGCAGCGGCAGCCTTGTTGGCAGCAATCTGCGTCGCCTCGAAGTCGATTCTGGCAGCAGCCAACTGTTCGTCGATGGTTTCGGCACGAGCTTTAGCCTGACCGACCATAGTGGTTTGAGCGGCCAATTCAGCTGCAGCTTCGGCTGCGGCCTGAGCGGCGTGATCGGCAGTGGCCTGAGCGGCGTTCAGAGCTGCAGTGATGACCTGCACCTGATGCATAGCTTGTTGGGCTGTGTTCTGGGCTGCAGTTGCGGCACGCTGAGCTTGCTGCAGTTGCATCTTCTCTCCGTCAACAGCAACGTGAGCGTCACGAGATTGCTGTTCCAATCCAAGAACGATGATCTGCTTTCCAGCGAGAGCCGCAGCTGCAGTGGCTGCCGATTGGGCAGCTGATTGGCCAAGAGTGTTCTTAGCCATGTAGGCGGCTTGTGCAGCTGCGCTGTGCTGATTGGCGATCGCTGTGTGTGCCTGATCGGCAGCACCCTGAGCAATGCTGACCAACCCTCCACCGGCACTGTAGCCAACCTGGCCATGGCCGCCATGGTGTTTGTGGCTCGCAGCAGAAGACGAGTCGACGTAATGAGATTCCGCCGGTTCGTTGCCGTATTCGTACTCGTAAGCAGCTTCCTCTTGCTCCTGAATGTGCTTCTTGCTTGGAGCTGCAAGTGCAAGGCTCACGCAGGCGAAGACCACGATGAACTTCATTGTCGATGTACGTGGGCTGAAATGGGAAATTTCATTACCAAGAATGGCCAATAACAAATCGTTAGATACTTCGGATTCTATGTCTCTTTTTGCATAATCAAAAAGTGTAATTTATAGAAGCTTACTCGAAACTATATTTCATAACAGCTTCACGTAGACTATTGAAACGAAATGGCCTGCGAAAGAGATTCACAGAGGTGGGGAGGGTAGTGGCGCGTATCAGCTATCACTTATCCTGCCTAATTACGCAATAACTTTTTATCTCAATTTTTTATCCACGCAGTCTCTCGCCAATTTCACGAAGTCCACCGCTTTGCATGGTTGGCCACTTGGCTCTGCTGAGAACCTACCGCGAATCGATTTCTCAAGGAAAAAAAGGGCCGGCCGCTTGCTTGGACGCTTATCGAAAGTCGAGATGATGACCACGCAGCGACTGTCAAACTTTTTTCTGAAAATTCTACTGTTTACATAATCCACAGCGAATTTACTATCATTATTTACACAACGTTGCGTATCTGTTGACAGCAAAGGAAAGCGATGCTTTTCTTCAGTTCTTGACATTTTTGTCGCAAGTCTCTCGAGCAATTCTTTTTTTTCTCCAATATTATGTACAAATCACAAGTTATTACATAGAGACATTTGACATTGTCTCCAATATACCTGACAAACGTCTATACCAATTTAGTATCATATATCCAAACAATTTTGTATTCATTTCTATCTCGAAAACAAACAATGAACTAAATTGCAGCGATTGCTTAAATTTAACATTCTTATTTCGTTACGCTCCAAAAATTTTCTATAAACGATCTATTACAATATTACTTAACGAGACGACTATCTGTGTGGTATAATCAGTCACGTGTTGTCCGAACGCGTAACGTGTGTAGGAATGTAACGTTCACGTAAAATTTTTATAAAACGACCCTTTCTAATGCAACGAACAAACGGCCCTGTGATCCTTTGCTTCGATTCGTATATATATGTATATGGAAAGGACCGTTCAGTTACGATAGATTAATCTATTATGGTTCCAGTGGCTGTGTTGACAAAGTGGTTCTCAAATATCTCGGCAAAGTTCGTAAAATACGTGATGCAAAGATTCGATAAAATTAGGGGGAAATTCAAATTTTCCCAATTAAATCCTTAAAAAATTCACATACGACAGGAAGTTTTAATTGCTATTTGCTGATTGCATCGAGAATTTTCTGTGGCCTCAAAACCTATTTGAAGTTTAATTTGAATATTATTAACCGAACAATTTAGCTGTACATTTCTAATTGGACCGTTAATCAGATTCCAAGTTACAAACTCGATATGGCAATGTCTTTGTGCAATAGATTTTCACCAATTTTATCTAGAGCGTGTGCAATTTTCAATGGTGGAAAGTTTCGAAATTTCACTGAGACGAATTCTAATACTTACGGATTACCACACTGGTTGTTGACTTGAGAATTAGAGCTGTCTTTGCTCTGGAAAGGAGCTAAGGAACTGATACCTTCTGTCCGATCGTCGCACCTCTTATACCCCTGCTGACCACACGGCTGCTCGAGTCCTTAGGTAGGGGTTGCCAACGGTCAAAAAGGCGGACCACCAAACTTTACGTCAAATTTCCTGAACACAGCTCGCGGATATAAGGTCAACTAAAATGAACATTGCGTAATTGGTCTATCACAAAGCACACAAAATTACGATAATATCACAATACATTGTTAAATAAATTTTTCATACATGTCATATCGGTGAGAAACATAAAAATTAATAAAAAAGGCGATTAATATAATTAAAAAATTAATTTAAAAAAAATAACAAGGTTGCTCTCCAATAATATTAATTAATAAAATATTGAATTTGAAACAGGGTCAAGTTTTGCATTACAGATCATTAATGACTGCAGATATATAAAAGGAAAGTATTAACAAATTTTACGAGCTTGTTACAATTCGCGAAACAGAATTTGAGCATAGCGACTTCAGCGAGGAGGAAGCGATACCGATTAGTTACGATGTCTTTTTCGATTCCTACAAGAACTGCCAAAATATCGAACAGATCAATGTCGTTTATTCCCAAAGGAGGAAACTGCATTTTTTGCTGGACCTTTAATCTCTCGACCAAATATCGATGAACGAGATCCTGCCGATATTTTTTCCTGCGCTCTTTCTTTATTTCTTTCTTTTCCTTCGCACCTGCCCAGGAGTCCGCCGAAACTCCTTAACGAGGATCAAAGCCAAGACAACCAAAGATCAGTTTGATTAGGTTCCGCATTTTCTAACTCGGATCAATGATTTTTCGTGCAGCTCCGCTCATGATATCCGGTGTGCTCCTTGAACCGTTCACCATCGACTATTACCATTAAGAAATGCGCCGCGACGAATCCTGCCCCACGCATCGTGCCTCGAAGGGTCATGACCCGCCTGGAGCCTAATTAAAAAATGACCCAACTCCCAGTAATTTCCGTCCACTTCGCCGTGCATTTATTGCACTGATAACTTTAACATAAGACAAGGCCCAGACTTTTTGCAGGCTAATTCAAAGAATTTTTAACTCTTACCCGGATAGCTCGAGACTCAATGAAATTTCTATTGTGAAATTCGCTCGTCACGGGTCAAGTTTCCTACGAACGATACCGAATGCTTCGCGACTTCGTCGATAGGTTTAACGGTGCAGGGCGGCGAGTCATGTTATAAAATCGGTAATGGTAACCAAATCAAATTTACTCGTCTAATTGGTGATAATTGATTGTTGAGGTAGTGTTGAAAAAAAAATTAACAGAAAAATAATTGATACCTCGGTAATTGATTTTACCTGTGGAAAAAGTAACGCCAAAAATGTCATTAAGTTACCACAATGTATTAAACGCTCGTCCAATTCGAGTAACATCATGGGAACACTTTCGATTCCGATGTTACGTAACCAAAGAAATTTCAGGAAAAGCTCTTCACTCTTGTTAACAGTTACACGTCCATAAAAAATTTGCTACATAAGAGAACATTGCCTCTGCAATTACGTGATTCGCGGTTGGTTCCGTCGTTATAATGGGCTCAAATTCTATATTTATACACGGTAACACGTAGACGTCATTATTTTTCATTTCTTTTTATATACATACAACAAATTGAATTATCCTCGATCAATTATTCATTCAAACACTCCAATGAGCACTACTGATCTTAACAAGGATCTGTGGCGCTCGTGCAAACCGCTAGATCTGGAGTAACGATTTACGAAGGCGAATGCACATTTTCGTTGCTGCACTCGATCTTTCGCTCAACGCTGACTCAACGTGACCAATGCACATTAATGCACGCGCGTTCTTTCCACTTGACATTCACTGGTCAAGTTGCGTTTACATAATGATTTATATTGAATAACAGTAATGGATGCTGGGATAATGATTTGAACGTTAATAATTGAATTCGGATTGGCGGGTAAACCAATATTAATAATTGACGTATAAAAGGGTCTAATAAAAATTTTCTTTCAAAATCTATACGTCCGCTTGAGCCACAATAAGTTTGGTATTATTTTCTGGTCGGTTAGTTCCCGTGGTAATAATTTTGTAAGAACGGTGGTTTAGTAACGGGAGGAGGAACGCTTGTGAGTCTAGTGAAAAATATGAAAGGATCGTTGATCGGTATATTATGAAAATAGAAACTGATATTGGAGTTTATCGATATCGATTTGTACGTTCAAACAGTCGATCATTTGTTATCTGTCTTATTGACAGATCTATCACTGGGTACTTAAAGGATCATTGGTTTGATTGTACTCATGACGTTTCTCGATATGACGACTCTCGCCATGGTGTGATATGAGGTTTACCTAAATTCGACAATTTCAATTAAGATGAGGGATATTTTATTTATTCTGTACGTAGGTAAGTAATGAATGTCGATATGCTGACCAAACTTGAAAAAATTATTATGTCGTTCACAGTGGTGATAACAGTTTTCTATATCGACTGTCGACGATCACAAGGAGTTCAGGATCATCTGGTATATCCGATGAACGTTATAATACGAGTTGGAAAATTTGTATAATTTTTATATTGTATTTCGTAGAATACAAGAGATATACTCGACTCTGTGGAAGGTGACTATGGTTCGGCTCACAAGAAAACTGGAGAAAAGGCTTCGAACATAGCACAAAAAGCAGCTCAAGAAGCTAAAGCAGCCTCGGACGCTCAGAATATTGCTGGTCAGCAAGCGTCCCGGCAGGTACGAATTCCGTCATCGTCATTGCGGTTGTCGCCAATGACGGCCGAGGGACGAAAAGATTATTTGACAATTGGTACGACTCGCGTTGATCAGGTGAAGACACAATTGGCCGAGAAGGCTGTGCAGGCTGCGAAGGCAGCAGAAGCAGCGTTATCCGGGAAGGAGGCGATAGTCGAGCAGCTGCAAGAAGAAGTGAAGGAGGCCGAGTCTGTAGTGCAAGAAGAATCCGCGTCGCTACAGGAGTCGCAGCAAAACGTTAACGCAGCGATGGAAGCAGCTCATCAGTCTCAGCAACAAGTAAATTGACCAGAGTATCGTAGAGCCGTAGCTTGATACTCGGTCTTAATGTGAAAATCTTCCTTTGAATATTTCAACGTTACAGCTGAAGACACTTACGCGAGCGCTGCAGACGGCTAAGTCGAACATAGGTAATGCGCAGGCGGCCGCACAGGGTGCGCAGCAGTCGCTCAATGAAAAACACGAACTGCTCGAAGCTGCCAAGAGACGCGTTGAGGAATTGGCTAAACAGTTGCAGACTGCCAAAGCTGACTTGTCTAATACGAATCAGGCAACGTTAAAGGCCAGCGCCGCAGCACGCGAAGCAAAACTGAATGCCAATAGAAATAAGAGAAGACGAGCTCAATGGCGAAGGTCGGGATATTCTGAACAAGACAAAGGATCTGTGACGATATGAAGGACTCAAAGTTTTATGGAAAATCTGCAATGTGATTGCTGTGTGGATAAGATACAATGTTTTTTTTTTCTTTTTTCTTTTTTTTCGTGGGAGACTGTAGCGTAAATTTTTGAATTCTAAAGAATTTTTTATATTAAACATATAGATTGAATGTTGCGTTACGATCGATTGTAGTTTCGTTGGAAGATTTCGTCGCGAGACATCTGCCGATTTTTTATTCGAACTTTCAGGTGTTAAACAATCACGCCGTTACTGACACGTATGATTTTCTGTCAGTTTTCTGAGACCTTTTTTTTCCATGTATTTGATTTTCATAGGAGCAAAGGAATTATGAGGAAGCAGAACTCGTCATTAGTAAATTTGGATTTCGTAATATGAGGATAGTACTGTTCATTATGATCTGTATGCGTGAGTGTTAGCTTATTGATTAGAATCGATATTTTTCTAACCAAAAAAAATCTTTCGATTTTTGAAAACGTTCGCGTGGATTTTAACGTTTGATTTACAATTTTTAGTTATTTCTGTACATTCAGATGCGAAAAGGTACAGGAGATTGAGAGACGTGAGTGGTTTGTAAAATCGTATAAATAATTTAAATAGACAAAGAATTTAATCTTTCGTTTACGATTATACAGATTTCGTGTAATGGTACTCCAAACCAGAAGAAATCAAACAAAGCAACGAGCATTGCTCAGAAAGCTGCACAAGAGGCGAAGGCTGCATCGGATGCGCAGAATGTTGCTGGTGCTCAGGCATCGCATCAGGTACTACCGTCAGACGATATATAAGTTAAAATGAATACCTGACTATAAGCTCAAAAAATAGGTCAAGGCTCAACTAGCCGAAAAGGCCGTAGAAGCAGCAAAAGCAGCGGAAGCTGCTCTGGCCGGTAAGGAAGCGATAGTTGATCAACTCCAAGAGGAAGTGAAGGAGGCAGAAGCTGTAGTACAGGAAGAGAGCTCCTCTCTTCAGCAATCGCAGGCTAACGTGAATGCAGCCGTGCAAGCAGCGCAGCAAGCTCAGCAACAGGTGCTCATGAGGATTTAACAAAGTTTGACAAAAAAAATATATATAATTCAAATTTCATTTCAGGTGAAGACCTTGACCCAAGCTGTACAGACAGCCAATGCCAATTTGGGAAATGCAGAAGCGGTTGCTCGGGAAGCCCAACGCGAAATGATTGAAAAGCAGCAACTAGTGGATGCAGCAAATCACAGAGTCGAGGAATTGATTAAGCAGATGCACTGTGCAACATCAGATTTGGGAAATACCAAACAGGCTGCGAGCAAAGCTAGCGCCGCGGCTCACGAGGCTAAGGTCAATGCTAATCGCAACAAACGTGGTCAAATTAATGTTCTCCTATGAGGAACGGCCCTTCAATATCGCACTTTGCTTTGCGCTACTCGATCACTGGCATGCTATTAATTATTGTGATATCGACAGGCGACCGCCGATTGAATTTAGTGATTTGACTAATGACCATGGAAAATTCCAAAGTACGTGCACCTAGCGTATCGATCGAGTATCAAAGTCATGAAGCTTCCTCTGGAACGGAGCTGGCTTTCTTTTCTTGCTGGCAGTCCGTAACGTCAATCGGGACAGTCTGACTCTACTTTACCATTTAACTGGTCGATGCATCGAATACAGGGATAATAATTTTAATGAAATTTTTTTGACATTCAAAAAATTTATATCGTTAAATTCACATTCGTATACATCCTCAACCTTGCGCCGACAGAACTAATTTTACTAGAACTAGACTAACACCTTTGTGATTACACACTAACCTAAAATTATACCAAGTTTACAGTCCAATACAAGATTTTATGATAAATCTACAACCGTATACATTTCATGCCCATGGACAAATTTTAATTGAGACTAGAAACTTAATTAAAACTTTTCTCCGAGTGGCTTAATTATCAGTTCCGTTATCTGCACGTGTTGTGGCAGGTCGATCACATATGCTACAGCATCCGCAATGTCTGTAGTGTTCAAGTGAACGACGCTGTTCATATCAAAGTCGGGAATATTCCCAGTTTCTACGAATCCAGGTTTTATGTCCTGTAAAAATGTATTATTACAGACATGCAAACTTTTTCATCTATTTTACAAACTCGTCAAAGGAATATTGTATCACGTAATATCATGGGCTTTCCATAGAAATTCACTGCAACTTGATTACAGTTCTTTCAATTATATTGATAAAATATGAGTTTCACTTACGGTAACTCTGATTTTTCCTCCCAGTACTTCATTGTAAAGTATTTCACTGATTGCTGTCACTGCAAATTTCGAAGACATGTATATGCCTAGAGGCAAATCTGGAAAATTCAGTATTTTGCGTCCCACGACGCTGACAAAAAAAATGCATCTTAAAAACATATAAATTACAATAATTAATATTTAATACTTAATATTTATATGCTCACCTGTTAATATTGACTATGTGTCCCTCGACGTTCGCACTTTTCATATGCTTCAATGCTTCCCGTGAACAATACAATAATCCAAAAACGTTAAGTTCAAAGGTCGAGCGAATAATATCACTGGATGCGTCTGTCAATTAAGTTACGTATCAATAACTTCACTCAGATCAGTGAGATAAAGTTGAATTACGTAACCTGCTTTATTATAGAAATATTATTAAATTTGTATTCTTACCAGCAATTTCAGACACAACTACTTTTCCAGCATTATTAACTAGAACAGATACGGTTCCAAAATTATCCTTAATCCATTTAAAAGCATCTATAACATTTTGTTCCTTCGAAATGTCACACATGAACCCATGAAATTTTCCCTTTGGATTTTTCAATTGCTTCATTTTTTCCTGTAGACGTACAAAAAGTGTTTCTCCTTCAGAAATATTCACAGATTCAAATATCATCAAAATTATGAATATTTTCAAACCTCCATCTCATCTTTCCTTCTAGCTAACCCAATGACGATCATCCCTTGGTTGGCCAAAGTTTGTGCGATTGTTAATCCTATTCCTGAAGATGCTCCGGTAACTACAGCAATTTTTCCAACCCAACGACTCATTTTTAAAAAAACTTTAGCTCAATGCTCAGTTACAACTATACGGGTTCAAGTTAATAATATATTAACAGCTGTACATTCTCGGCAGTCTTATATAACTGTCCCTGGTCTTGTAGTGGGGTGGATAAACAAAATTTATGATTTTTTTTTTTTAATCACTACAGATTATCTTGAAAGGTATATTTATAAGTAATGTAAATTTCCCTATACTATATGCACGTTTCATGATTGAAGTGATTCTCTACGTTATGCATGTACATAGATTAAAATCTTAAAATTTGCATTGCTTATGCATTTTTTATAAGGATATATAAAGAGCAGGGGAATGCAATAGAAATTCTGTGGGGATATAATTTTAAAAAAAATTCTTTTTTGGACAATTTCTAGTCCCAGCATTGCATGTAAAATTACGTATTAAATATGCAAATTTCCTGGTGCTGAAATAGGGTCGTGCTCTCTACTGGGAAGAGGGTTGATTAATATGTAAAAAGATGTAATGCAGGGCGTTAGTGCATAATAGTGCATAGTGAATAAGACAACTGTAAAACAGTAACCATCTGTCACTGTCAGGTAGAACAGGAATAATTTATTATATATTAAATATATATATCATATATATCAAAGTGTCGCGAATGTCATTGTCATTCAAAAAGGAATCACTGCTCTCATGAAACGTGAAGTGCATATATACATTTAAAGAAATCGTCTCAAAAAGGAAACTCTCGTAGCGGACTATTTACAAGAGAAAATATTTTCTTTTTTAAAGATACGACTCCATAAGAAGACCTAAAAAAAGTACAATAAATAACAAAATTTTTTTCACTGTTCGCAGATACTCGCAATTTTGCAATTACATTTTACATTTTTCCATAAGCGTATCACTCACAGAGTACATTCGTACTGGCATATCGATTCCCAATACGAATACGATTTTACCTAATTGTCAAAATTACGCAAAATTACCCAAGTGTGTCCTAATACCTGACAGAGTTCCTACAAATTGGTCAAACCTAGTCGCGGGTCCAGCCTCTACCGGATGGGGATCCTTTCACTAGAGAGTTTGGAAGACTCCATTCAATCATCGCTAGGTCAAAGGTCATATCTCTTATTCGTGAAATAAAATGATGTATAAAGAATCGAATGAAAAAAATCAGGTCAATTAATTTCTATAACAATATCCCAATGCTGCTCTTGCTGTGGGTTATCTGATAAGCGAAATCCATGAACACAAGATAATATAATAGAAAAAAAATTCTCTCAGCATTTGATGAGAATTCGAAGTTGCGGCAGAGACTATTAAGCGTTCTCTCGGGTGACGTCACTGACTCCTAAGAGCGAATGGATCGTGAGAGGCACATCAAAGCTGAGTTACTTTTCCTTCTAGTGCGCCCTTCGCCCAACGGTAGAGAACGTATAAGGCACACTGAACAGTAATCTTGATGGGAGATATTTCAAAAAAAAGGAGACTCAAATTATACCTCTTAGTAATGGGGTCTAGTTTTTATTTTTTCTTTCCATAAAAAAGAACATGTATTCTCTAATACTGCTACGGAATATAAAGTCCTATGCTTGGCCTTTATTACTTGGCACGCGCTGGTAATTGTTCAAATTATCAACCGTGACTCAGCTTTACGATATCCGAAATGCATGCAATACATGTTGATACGTTCGGTAAGAAAAAAAAAGGAAACATGTTATGACATAAAATTTCCAACCTATTTACAAAATAAGATTGACTCGGATATCTCCATTTCTGGAAACTTTACGATTTGCAATAAGAAATAATTTCTTGTTCTCTCAACTCTCTCTCAACTTTCTGATATAATAATTCGTACAAGAGTACTTATATTTTGATACTAGAAAATTACCTTTTCCCACCTTACCTTTCCTTCAAATTAAGTCATCGAACCGTTTAGAATTCTAGTACGAGGTAAAAGATTTTGCAATATCCGCAATGCCAGTGCAATTAACTTGTGTATCAATGGAGTAGAGTATTACCAAAGAAATTGTGTATGAATCGGCTGTTAGAACAATAGTTCGATATGTTGATACGATGGCTTTGATTCTAATCTAAACTTGAGAAAAAAGAACGGTTGATTAAATAGCGTAACAGTCATAGTCCAAAGGTATGGCTCATTTGTTACTTCATAGCTCGTTACCGAAGAAGCCTCTGTGCAGAAGAGAAGAGGAAAGACAATATTTCGCAAGAGAATTTACACGAAAGTCTAAGAAAGACTCATAATGTGAACATGCTTAATTAACCTTACTAATTATTTAAAAATTTTCAAAACTACATACCTGTCTTCCAAAACAAAGAGATCCACTCTAAATTCATCGGTAGGTCTAATTTTTACCACACACGTATCTGATAATAATTAATGATTGTCTAAGATAAAAAAATTACTCATCATCGTCATAGTTATGAATTGCAAAAAAATATTGCAGAGTCAAGAAAAATAATTTGCAAGGTACTGGCTTAAATTTTGAAAAGTAAAACTATAGGATAGTAATAAATCTCGCAGATGGTCCATGAGAATGAATCTGCAGATTACAGTATAGTTCCCATCGTTCGTAAAAAATATGTTTACATGTATCATATTTCTATACGTTCCTATGGAACAGTTCCTAGCACCACTCCATGTACTATGGTTTTGCAGAGGAGGTTCCGATTCCCATTCTCGTTCCTAATCTTAGGAGGTATTTTCTGAAGAGGTACGTTGCCTTTCGTCGTCTATAGTGAAAGTGCCCCGGGTCGACTCACGTGCTTCAACCTTCCCGAGTATATCTCGAGAGGAACTGTAGTCGCCACGCTTAGTATCATCTTAACCATCCTTTGGAATTCTTCACCTTTTCCTTCACCTTCCGCCACTCGGATTATTCTTCTTGTTGACCCTCACGACCGTCACGTGTGAACTCTGAACCCGCGCACTGTGACCAGTGAACTTGTACCTGGGTCGTTGGACGAATATTAGCGTCCCATGGAAATTGTGCCAAGACGTTTGAATTGTCAAAAAAATAGTTGAAAAATAGTGAGTACAACTTTGGCGGTAAGGAATACATTTACTGAGTGGGATTTCAAAATTTACGGAAAATTAATAAATAATGGTTTTGGATCGGCGACACCTGTGCTGCTTTCTCCGTTAAAAATGAAAATAATACCCTGGTTTCGTTCCGGGTCAGAGCGAGTATACCCTAGAGTAGGGACTTGCAATTACTAAGTCTCGACCAGTTGGGGAAAGTTTGAAATTGGTGAAACAATGAGAATCCTTCCTTTCACGCAATTAGGGATACCCCGTAAAACAAATTCGTTAAAGAATTTTAGAAAAATTAACGAAAGAAATGCAATTTTTTTTTATGTACAGAGCTCAAGTGCGCGTAGCTGTAAAATACGTAATGACTGAAAAATTGCTTTAGTTCCGCGTATAAGAAATTCGCACAACGTTCCAGTGCTTAACCATGCAAATTACCAAAATGCCATTAGCTTCGATGTTTCCCTCATAAAAATTCGCTTACTCGAATTCAACTGAATCTGTTGAATGATCTTGTATCTACCTCTGTAGATTGGCAATCGTTATTTCGTTAACACGATCCAGTGATAAAGTTACGGGGACGGCGAATAAATCAGTAATTCGCGAATTTGACCCTACCAAGATCCACGGAGCATTCCCCTCGGGCGAACTCATTGAAATTCCATCCAGCATCTTTCTCCAAATAAAAATGACCGTATAATTTATTACCCATTACGGTAGCAGTAACTACAAAAAAAAAAGACAATGAAAACACACAAAAGTATATACCTAACTATAAGCTGTATATATATTTGTATTATTCGGCCACAGAGATCCGGGAAGTACCAATTCAGTCGACGAACAGTATTTTCATTCGTGAAAGCATCCAATGGCCGATCGTAAAACATTGTCTTCCTGGTAAAAGCAACCAGATACGAAACACGTTAGAATCAGATTAAATAACAACAATATACAATATCGATCATAGGATACCAGTAACGCTGAAATGCTTACAAAAAAAAATCCTTCACTCTTCTCGATATCAAGAAATCACATAAAAGTTTTACTAATATCAATTAGCTGTATCGTGTTATTACAGGTCATCTGATTTTTCAAATCCGAACAAAGCATCTTTAATTTCATCAGTTAAATAATTTTGCCAAAGTGAACACAGTAATAGCCATCTGCCTGAATAGGCTGATAGCCAGCTATTTATTTATTGCCTGTAATAAAAATGAAAGGTGATAGTAGGTGACTAATCCGTGAATATGTACATAAATAATATACAGGGTGTCTCGCCTATCTTGACCACTTAAAATATGACGGTTGTCTTTGACGATAAATATTTAAGAAAAATTTATATATAAAATATATTCTAAATAATTGATCTTTCCATACTGCACGCTAGTAAAATAATTGAAGTACCGGGAGGCCCAAGAAAGCGATTATCTTTACTGACGCAGAATTGTTCCATTGGCATGATTATTATGTGATTACGATATGCAGACGTAATATCTAAGCGTGTGAAACTTTCAGGATGAAACCCGAGTACGTTTTACCCGTTGCTATCGCTCTAACTATGTATAACGTGACTCCCTCGGTGAACTATATCTGTGAATCTCAACGATTCCGTAACGATTGTCACGAGGCTCTATACATATAGGTAACCTGAATACAAAGCAGTCTGAATGGCTTATAGAATCTCTTGATGACTCGAAGAATGCAGCCCACGGTTCATTGAAAGTTCCACCAAAAGAAGACAGATCGAATTTGGCAACGAGACTAAAGTCAAGGCTGAGTCTTTTCACTGATCCGGATTAACGTTCCGCGGCCATTCGACTGTGTAATATTTAGCTCAGGGGAGAAGATGACATTTGCGTGATCTGCTTATTCGCCGTTGAGAAAGAAACTTTGGGAATTGTCATTCCCGACCGAATGGTAGCGGCGATGCCCTAAGTCAAAATGAGTGTTATTATTATTATTTAATTTTTGCGCAATATTAGAAACGAATTAGAACGAGGTCTTCCACCTGGCAGGATCTTGCTATTGATACGGTTAAAAAGCCACCTAGGCTACGATGACGATCCGCGTATTAAAAAATCATTTATATAAGCAAGATGATTTCTTTCACGATTAAAAGGATCGAAAAAAGGAACGGATTTATATGGACAGTGAAATCGTGGATCGGAGATAAATCGTAGGCGCGCCGATCTTCGTCGTGGAAGTAGATGGGACATTGGTATAGGTTCCAGTTAAATAGGCAAGTGAAGTGGGCGAAGGGACGGACGTCATGAGAGATGACGTTGAAAGATGTACGTTAGGCAAGGCTCTTCCGCGACTCTCGCTTTTTCGTATTCGCACATGTTTAATGCGATCATATGAATACGTGTAGAGATGGTTGCGTAATACGGTTACGGTTGGTGCTGATGTAGGTCAAATTAATGGGCATACTTCTTATACAAACAGATCTATTCGAAAAAGACCACTCGAATATTCCGCTTTTTGAAAGCACTTACGGACTTTTTATTTATCTTTGGGACAAGTGCAAAATAAAAGGAAAGCATTCGACGGGCCTACTGCTACCTGGGTTGATGTAATTGCTCGTGGTTAATGAAAAGTGGCAGAAAGTCTGTTGTACTAATATTAACTGGCATGAAAGAAACTGCCGATGATGGTGGAACCGTGATGAAATATGTCTGGGGTTTCTATGAGTGCGACAAGTCAATCAGCGTCGCACGTGGCGACTGGGTTTGGATGTGAGAGTTGAGAATGGTCCTCATAAATAAATTGATTCTATAACACTGGACTGAATTGGATGCTGTGCTCGGTCCATTTTACACAGAGAAAGTGTCTTTTTTATTATAATATTATTTTTCGTAAAATCACAGGAAAAAGCTTGGCGAACTCCGGGACGGACGATTCTTTCGGATATGTCGGCCTAGACTAGGGGGTGGTCTTGCGCGATAACGAGAATGAAGAGGATTGGAAGGAGGGATTGGTTGTCGCTGGTGCTGCTGATTCTAGTCCTGGTAGAGATCGATGCTCAAAAGGTTAAAATAGCTGAAAATTGATATTTAAAAAAATTGACTTCGTTCATTGAGAATTATATCTTACTTGATGTTGACAGCAAAAGAGACAAATTTACAGGGAGCAAGTGTTACCTGCACTCGGTGGGAAAATTCCTGACGAAGCCTTCAGGTCAGATCGATTGGCTCTTAATCGATTGAACAAAGAAGGTATCACGACTCCCGATGGAGTCGTCTTGATCGGGCGAGAAGTGCAAAAACATCCCCAAAAGGAAAGATCAATGCCTGAATTGTTGAAGGTATTTTTATTGAAAATTCAAATAATCAAATTTACATTGATAATAAATTTAGTGATAATCCGTAGAGTATTAAAGGCTTGATAAATGGAGATTTTTTAATAAAGGTTTATCTGACTCCGGATGGTCGATACGTCCCGCCAGAGGGTCGGTACCATTACAGCCATCCCAAAGCCGTAGATACGACCTACGTTATCCGAAGCCCAATTGGTCGTGGAGGGAGTCATAAATCAGGGAATGATCAGAGCAGCTATAAGCCACGTGGTTTCAGCAAGTCTTACTCTTACACGAGACAGCAGCAATATCCGGGATCATCAGCTCTGCGGAAGCCAGGAATTTATAAGCCAATAATCGCCCCGTTTATCATTCCGACCCGAGAATTATTGGTTCAGCCATTTTATCCAATCTGGAATACAGATTTCGGCTGGAACGATGCTGTATACGACTCGTTCGATGAATTTTTTATTAACAATCTTGCTCTATTCAATTCCCACCAAGTGAGTATTACTGGTGCAGGAGGTTAAATTTAGTTTCTAATGGGTTCTAATGTCTGAGAGGTATAAGAGCCTTGCCTTTGCCTGTTCCGGATCGTATTATAATTATTATTAGTGTTCAACAATACAAACAATTGGTACTAGTCGTTGGACACGTCAGAATATTTGTTACGAGAAAAAAATATGTCGAGATTGCGTGATAATTTTTAGCACGTGATATAATCTCTTGGAACAATCAATTATACTTATGAGTATAAGGTACCTGGGATCTCGCGCACTTTCATTACGTATATAAGTGCACTTACTATTTTGCTACCAGGAACTGATCTTGTGTTCTTACGTCGAGAATAGCTGTTACGTTCAGGCAGAACGTTCGAATGCAGATGAAAGTGTACTCATCGAGTTTCCCAGCTTCACGCTTCTCTGCTTCTCCGCTATGAAATGTAGATTATTGTCAGTATTAATTTTGATTTTTTTTAAATATTTTAGATAATTACAGATTATGACGAATTTTTTAATCAATTTCACGCACGTCAATTGAGACACATTAGAACGGAACATGATGATAAGAGTTCACACCCATCGACTAATAATCTTGAGGTCAATGTCAAGCCACCAGTAACTACGTTGGAGCCTCCAATTTTGTCGAAAAATTTTCGGTCGAAAAATGTGTCAAAAGTGTCTGGTTATACAGATTTGACGAAAATACCAGAAACCAGTTTCGTCTGTCGCGGAAGAACGGGGACGTTTGCTGATGTTCAAACTAAATGTCAAGTAAGTATTTTTTTACTAATTGTAAATCCCGGAATTCACATTCTCTCTTATTTTTGCATACGTGAGTCATTGATGAACCATCAGAAATTCATTGTTCCGTCGGAACTAAAGGATTGAAATATATGACACTTAAATCATTCTTTATAGCTTTTACTTTCTTTTCGATAAATTTTCATAGCAGTAAATATTACTTGTGATCGCATGATCCCAAAAAATTGGATTATCATGCTTAATGGAAAGTATACTGCATTCTACGGAAGTCCGTTAAATATCCACGGCAGTCGGTACAGTAGAGTATCCGAATACCGACACTATAAGCAATGTGCACAAAAATTACACAAACTGCTTTTCGACGATTTTTATGTCCAGTAGATTCATCTCATAATACGAACATGACAGCTATTCGCTAGACCATTATTAAAAGACGTATACAGATGTTACATATATAGTAGTATGTTGTTTAGAGAAAATCGAACTATCTCTGAACGGCTGTCTTACGTAATTCGCTTAACGTGTGAGTGCATAAAGGTCACCATTGCAAGTTCATGTTATTCCGGTACACGTTTTATTTTGTGTGCTCTGACATTTATCGGTGTATCTACAGAAAATATATTTGCATAATTTTTATAGGTATTTCATGAGTGTACTGGATTTTCGAAAAGTTCATCCCTGTGTCCCGTAGGAACAGCTTATAGCGAAAGTAAAAAACGTTGCGAATGGTGGAACAATGTTACCTGCCAACTGTGAAAAAATGGAGAGTCAACGGTTCAATAAATAGAGGACGATTAATACGATATACGTGAGATACGTCTGCAAATGAAAAAGGAAAAAAAAAATTACTCCAGTCATCCACCTAATTAATTTTCTATTAGCTTGTTGAAAGTATAATATAGAATTTTTATACGTTACATGCAGCCATATACCGTTCATTATGATATTCGATAGTAGTAAATACTTTTTGTACACGTTATCTTTTGTAATAAAATACTAATGAATGACAGCGAAGGTTTCTTTCGAATCCAGATAAAAAACATTTGCTTGTAGAATAATTCATATATCAAATTGTTTTATTGAAAAAAGCTTTATAAAATGTATGTATATTACCTAAAGTATAAAGGTACATGAAAAAAGTCGAATCTTTCACTTATTATTACGGTGTTCACGTACAACTCATGAGTTTTTCAAAATTAACGTGACACATCGATTTAATTGTGTTTGACAACTATTTCATGTCAATTACTAAGTAGTTTATTTCAGGTAAAACCTGAAATACGATCTATAAATTGATAAAAATAAGGATATTTTTAATTTAATACAAGACTTCCGAAATACTGAGGCACTTTACTGTGTTACACACTGAATTTAAGGCTTACAAATAAATTCTAATTGTAAGTTCTATTATGTCTTACAGTAATGAACATTTTCCTGTGTATTACGAATTTTCTATTTCGCGATCAATATCGCTATATCAAATATTTGCGTGATCTACCTATTTCATATTTTATTACTGTTCCTAAGTTTAACAGTTGTTTCAAAATAATGAACTCCGGACGGTAAAGTACAATAAAAATATACTCTTTATATATCTCTATTAAAATATATTAAGATCAAATAATGAAGGTATTAATTACATATTAGTAATTCTCAAGAACGAAAAGAACCAAATTTATCTAAATTATGCAGTGATGAATGAGAGTAACATTCTATATTTAAGAATTACTGCATGAATTGAATTATGGAATAAATGTATCGTTGGAATATATTTTATAGCATTATATGCGACGAATGTTAAATTACCTATAAATTCTAAGTTCATGAACCGAATTTGGACGGAAGTCTATTCTCGGACTAATTTCAGTCTTCGGTCATTCTGTAAAATCTAAAATATTAATCTTTTTTCCACGATTAATGGAATGACACGCAAGTAAGACAGTTTACTTAAAGTTAAAGAGTCATCTCTATTGATTTGTGCGTTAAATATGAATCTCATTTCTACTTAGTAATGACCACTTTGTACAAGTCAGTAAAACAGAATATTGCTTATTAAAATGTCCTCCCTTACTTTGGTGCCAATGAATATAACGTATAACTTAATTGTATAGCTTAAAAACATTAGTTATATCATCAAATGCAGTGTGCGAACAGACATAACAATTTAAGGCCATAATAGTTCGATATTCGGTGACTGCAGAGTTTCAAGTATTTTGTACATCGAATAGACGCACAACCAGCAGTATATCTGAATGTAGGTGAAATAAAATATGTACTATAAAAAGTAACCAAAGTATCTTTTTCTGTAATTACATAAATAATACATTGTACTTACGTTATAAGACATCCAGAGCCAGTTACATAGTGTTGCAAACACAGATTGAAGCTAGAAAAAATTGTTTAAAGTTGTTAAATTTATCCAAGTAAAAAATACATACATGATGCTATTATTCAATTATCAAATAAATACTCACATATATATAATAACCTCCCAACAGCCATAGCCCAAAAACTAATTGGAACAAGCATACAATGAACCATCCTATTAGCCAAGGCAACAACCAGCCTCGTACACCTCGATGAAGGCCAATCATCATCAATACAGAGGCATAAATAAGTAGCAAAAAGTAAAAAATAAAGAAACCACCAACTACTTGCATAGCTGAAAATAATGAAAAATCAGTAACGTTATCACCTGTATAAAATGTGTATGAAACAAAATTCTCAATATATAATAGTTAAAGAATTCTTACATCCTCTGACATCTGTCTCAAATAGAGGATTGTATAGTTGCGTAGAATCTCCACCATTAAGTTGATACGATATCAGTGTAATTAGCACAATGCACATCGCCTGAAACAATAAAACAAGATCCGATAAAATTAATATCGTATCCAAATTATAATCAAAATAGTAGTCCCAATAACGTCATAACACAAAACAGTGTCTCACCGTGGTATAAAAAGCGATAGCCTTGCATCCTGTTTTCACACTGTTTGTCCAAATACATGGCGACCAGCAGGATTGCAGTACGGTCATCTTCGTGCTGTGAGATATTGAAAAACGATGATAATTTTGTTTAATCAAATGAATCAATAAAACACTAGGTCACAATAACCTCACAACTAGCAATTGTTATGAGCACTGGGCGTCGACTGGCGTCAAGACGACACGATTTAAGCATGCACAAACCACTGCTGCACACGGGAACGCCAAACATACCGAAAATCATTCTTACCTATTTTCACGAAACTTCCAAGTGAAGCACCTACTGGTCACGCCCTATTTTTCTTCGCAGCTTCACTCAAATATACAACCAGCGTGAAATTACAGTTAATTTAGGGCCACAAGTTCACGTCACTGGAGTGTACGCGCCCATCTACCCCACCATCGACTACTCTAAGTCGCCATTGGACACCATATGTATTGCTGTATGTATGTACAATACTACTGACTATCACGCTACACGTCCTTTCATTCGGAATAGTTACTTGTGACGTATCTTTACTACTGTCTACTCCAATATACTCACTTCCACTCACTACTGTTACTGTTAGTCTCTATTCAAAATGCTCCTAATAACACATCGAGAGCTACAGACGATAATGTGATTTCCCTTTAATTGGAATTGCAGCCGCATAGCAATGCCTTTAAGGATTGCATCTGTATTTGAGTACGATTATTTTAATGAGAGATAAAGTTTCTTATTACCGTCTTTGCGTAAGTTAATCAGACACGGTGCTTAAATCTATAAAACATACAGTAGTTAGGCTTCGTAATGTAAGGATAATATCACAAACGAGTAGATATTCTCCTTTATGAATTTTTCAATATTGCACTTGGTATAATTTAGTAAATGGATTGGGATAGCCGTAATCTTTAGAGAGGTTAAGTGGTTGTAATAAATTTGTTGGTCGTTTCTTTACATACCAAGGAGCAGTGCGTAAGTATCGCGCGAGGAATCCTTAAGTAACGCGCCAGATTACAGGTTAGCCAACGTGGTGTCTGACTCTTAAAAAGTTACTAGTTTGCCATAGGCGTCGAAATTTATAGTTAAATTACATACAGATTGTATCTGATGCATCGAAACGACTTCAGAGTTGAACAGTGAAAATCAATGTTTTTCGAAAAACGATTGCACAGGGAAAAAATGGTTATTTGAAGCAGAGAGAACAAAATATGAAACCAATGGTATGTAAATGTGATTGTACGACAGAAAATTTATTACGCAATTTTAATACTAAGTAATAAAGCACTAAGAAAACTCGTAAATTTCTACTTGGCCGAGTAAGCCTTTTGAAAATTACGGGTATGATACTTGTTTCATATAACTATACCATATTAGCGAACAATATATGCCAATGGTGACTATTAATAATCTGCGAGCAAGGTCAACCTGGTTTATTGGACGTAAATAGAAACGATTGCATACGTGTCTTCAACCGATTCCAATAATATACTTTGCGAGGATTACGTGACTCTTGCTGGTAGTCTCAATAATTTCAACTGCATAATGAAAGCGAGGAAATTGCGTTGTGATGTTCAGCAATAAATTCGTAAGAGAAATGAGAAAGAAGGGAGCCAAAAGATAACTTTTGCCATCAAGAGAAATAAAGCAGTCTCACTGATCCTAGGTGGATTCAAAACAGTAACAAAGCATCTAAATATGAAATTTGTGGCGCAAAGAGAGCGCGCAGCTTCAATATGTCGTAATCGTTTATTGCTGCTGACACAACAGGGGAGGAGGTAAGGGAAACGTTGTTTTTGCCAAAATCTAATAATAAAAGATATCGTAAAAGTGTCGACGAAAAATTTATTTTTAAGTATTTTATTGTCGTATAATATGCGGTACACTCTTATCTGATTAAGTTAAATTATAAAGTCGTAAGTCTCGCGAGGTTCGAACATCGGCCATGTTCACGCTTCATTCTCGTCAGGCAAGTCAATATCGCATGAAAACCTGGGACATTTTTGAGAATCGCGCATAGCTTGATATACCGCGAGATAAACTTGCTATAAACCTATCACCTGCGGTTATCTAGACCCTTTATTATATTGCAATAATAATCTCCGGATAATATATTAGCCCGTGGTTGGTGGTTCGCGCCGGTGATTAACCCTTGGAAAATGTAGTTCAATGGTTTCGTCTTTCCCGATTGCGGTTTCCGTAGCGGACGGCCATTTTGGTACCGCAGATAGAAAATAAATCTTTGGAAACCAGATAAGTTCGACCACTGATAATGCACGTCAAGACATCGAGTTGTGAAAAACAAAGAGATACACGCACGTCAAGGCACACGTGACCATGGAGCTACGATTGATGACGCTTCTAAACGTACGTCGACGACAATTGCCAGCCACTCTCTTTATTTTATATTATTTTCCAAGTGCACCAATGGATCACACCTGCATCCCAGTAGCATTTGCAAATTCGCGCTGCACTGCATACCGCCGGGTAAGGTTAATCTGATCGGTATGATAGAATAGAACAAGCAGACTGGATTTTCACTTGGAAATGATTGTGCTCTCGTGGCACCTGTGTCGCTCTTTGAGAATTCCTGTTCTCCCCTTTGGAAGGACTCGGTGCCTATCCCTATTTCTATACTGTGCATCTACGAGCGTATAGTATACAGGGCCATCCAGTCGAAACGTAACAGTAAGATTTGACAGCAGTCATAGGATGATTCCTTTGAGTGAGCACTATTTGACAAGATTGTACAATTAACATTATTTACGAGCTATTCATAAAAGTCCGCGTGCTCTTGTGCATTGGTAAAAATTTGTCAATGGATACCAAAAGATTTCGCTTGCTCTCAACTGCTGGTTGTCGCCCGCGATGATAAATGGTGAACCCCAGACACCTTGTGACAGCAGTGAATTTTGACTGGTGCGTTTTAACTGCATAGTCCTGTATACATATACATATCGCTATCTCTTACTTACTCCTTCCTTCAAGTCCTTTCAAGAGGGAGTGAAAGGAAAAGACCTTATCGTAGAGTATTTGTACGTATTGAGCTATACCTACTATAGTCCGCACGTGGACTTCATTCACCCTGGGTCATCAACTCTTTCGTGTTTGACGCTCGGTAATAGTTTTTTTTGCTCCAATAAAAAGTCGATAATCCATTAGCACTCGATAGTGCATTTCCGGTAATAATAAAATTCGAAATTAGGCATTGGGAAACTGATGCTAAATTGATATGGGGATTAGTTCGCGTGATGAAATTCTGAGCGATGTGACCTGTGGAGGACAAAATTTTTGGACCAAGGAAAATGACGGTGAGGATGCTGGGACCTGGTGAGTTCAGATAACAACGTGGACCATACAAGATTGGAATAAGATCACAGAGAGCGTAAGAGACCTTTCTTAGTCTCGTGTTGGCTAAGTCGGCAAGCTATAAATATACGAGTCCACTTGGATGGCTGCTATTTTCTAAGATTGTCTTCCACCATATTCGTTTCGGTTGATTGTTAGCATGGGGGCAACCGTAGGTTGCCTCTCAATTTAGGAGGTCGGCTCGATGCAACGTTGCCGCGGTTTAACTTTTACGATAACTTCAAACCGAGCTAACAATACCTTAAGTGTCTCACGGTGATAATGGATTCACGTGAATTTTAAGAATTTCCCTTTTGTCGCTTCTGTTTTTCTTGCTTCTGGCACGAGACGCAGCCAGTGCGTCAGCCATTGTTAATCGAGGATCTGTCAGTGTCGATCGTCTGCCGGCGACATTGGAGTCTGGGATACTGTAGAATACTGCTGCCCGAACTCAACTATAGACTATTTGCCGGGACGGCAGAGCGCGGGGAACAGTCTATACTCTCTTCGTCGTAGCTGCTGGCAGCCGGAGTCGTGCCGATCCTTTCCGATAGCATTCGTCAACGTGTAACTCGAAGTTCCTCGACCAGTACACAATCAATGACCTAACGCGTGTCGTATCTCGACTTGACTACGTAGCCAATCGAGAGAATCATACTATTACGTATGATAAGCTGATAATGCGTGAATCTCGATTCGATGTGTGTAAATACGCGATTATCTTAAATAAACTTGTATCGACTAATCGAGTATCGTTAAAAAAATAAATCAGCCAATTGTATCAGCTGATGACTCGGTGATAAAAATCTATCATACGAATAGTACGTGACGTTCCGATAAATATCGATTGGATTGGCAAAGCAGGAAAAGGAGCACAGGAGTGATTCTCCTAGAGTCAAAGGAAGGATTCCTCTTATTCCCAGTATGGCGAGAAGCCCCGCACATGTGTTACTTCGAGACGCACGAGCATATGTGGGAATGTATACGTAGGTGCATATAGAAACAGGCACAGGTACAGGTATACGCGTAGGTATAGGTAGAAGAGATAGGCAGAGACAAGAGTCGGAGAAGAAAGAGAGTGGAAAGGAGAGGAGGTAGGGGGTAGACGAAGAAGGAGGCGTGTTAGCTAGAAGGCACCTTAGAGGACCCCTCCGGTGGGTCAGATTGGGCCCCTCGTCTCGTACACTCGCATCGAGGTACCTTCGCGCCGGTTCGAGGTTCGAGTTGTCGAGGCCTCGGGCTGCCTTACGGACTTATAACGTCTCGCACCGTCTTTACCACGTTAACCGCTTCACTTCGCTACGTCACGGGCATCGTTTGACCATCGCGTCGTTAAACTCTCCATTTAAACGTTTCTCTCAAAACGTTCTTAACACAAGTTCACTCGCGCGCTCACACAGTCACTCCTCCACTGCCATCACTGCTCTACGAGGAAAACTGTCATTTCAACTAATCGTGTCATTCGTTCCTCGGCTGCAAGCAGTGTGCGTCGGGTAGTCACTCTTACTCTTTCTATATCGTTGGCTCTTACTCGCTCTATCTCCCTCTTACACTCCCGCTACACGCGTTCCTCCCTTTCAGCTTGATTCTCCTTCTGCTTCTCCTTCTCCAGCTCCTCCAGGAACCCCTTCCCCCGAAACTGCGAGCATATCGCGTCGATTACACCACGCTATATGTCAGTTAAAACAGTTGGCCGTAGACAGCCTTAAGTTGACGACGACGACGCCGGCGAAGAGACAACAACGCCGACGGGCAGGCTTGCTCGTGTGTGCGCCCGACGCATCGAATTATTAACCTCTTTGTGCTACTCTCGAGAGACTCTCTTGTATGTTCGTCGCGATTTCATTCCAGTGCAGTGTATGTTGTCAGTGGAATAACTTTTGGGTTAGACCCCAGTGCTTAACGAAGTGTCACTGTCTCACGGAGTTTTCGGAATTGCTCTGTGAACAGTCCAGAAGGAAAATTGACATTGGCGCATCCACCGGTGAAACTGTTTACTAGAGGTTGGCCTATCTGAATCTGAATGTTACGTGAGAATTTACCTTCGTATCTGCAAATGAGAATTCGTATATTTTTATTGGTATTTTTTATTAATGGCAGACTGCAATGTTAGTTTGAGTGTTTTTGAGGGTTATGTATTTGGATTCGACGCCGAAGTGTCTGCCGTGCCGTATGTCAGTCGGTGCTCTGGATCAGCCGGTGTTTGATCGGCTAGTGTTTCGAATTTCGAAGAGGCTCGTGTACACGAAAGTGCGTGGGTGGTTAAAATAAAATGCGATAGTGCGTCTAGTGTTACCGTTCAGAGGAAGCTCAACGACGTTCACCTCGACTGTGTGCCAGTGATCTTTACTAGGTTTCATTCTTGGAGGATCTTTGAAAATAGAGATACTCCGCAGGCCATTGGAAAGTACTGCTGGATTCGTTTCTAATGTCCTGATTCCTCGAAAAAGGGGATAACGATGCTCATGGGTTTATCGATCAATGTTGGATGTAAGTATCGCGGTCGTTGTGATTAAAACGTATCACGATTGGTACCACGCGAACCGAACCAATTACCGTTTCACGTATCGCTCAATGTAGAGTAACGCAATTGTTTGGTCCGGCGTCTGCGTGTTAACGTTAAGGACGCAATAACACGGGATATAGAGCAAATTTTCGCAGCGTTTGTTTCATGCTGGTGAAAGTCGAAATTCATCTAATCTCAAGAGCCACCTATACCCATAGTAACTCCTGTCAGGAAGAAATTAGTATCGTACGGTACATGTGTATTAAGAGCCCCCCCTTAAGTAGGGCGTTGAACCGAACAGAAACGGCGAACCGGAACGAACCGCTATTTTTTCCATCAGCGACACACTCGCGAATCGTCAAATCTAGAACGAAACCGGAAGCAGATCCCAACGCTGTAGCCACGTATCGAAAATCGGACGTTGAGAAATTGATAAGTGTAAGAGCAAGAGCACGCGCGGAGCGTGTGAGCTTACTCGTTTTATCTTTGGCAATGAAAATATTTATTGACTACAAGGTTAACGCGATAATCGCATAATCGATATTACGATAGAGAGAACAGTCATGTTAAATTCAAAATCGTTGCTCTTCTCTTTCGAAGAGAAGCGTGACCTGGCACGTGCCAAGTTCAGTCACCTTATCTTCAAAAATATCCCACGCTAATCACTTCACGTTGTCCGCACTTTCGAAAAATGCTCTCAAACATCACGTAAGTTTATTCTAATACGCATAGAAAAGTCCGGGAACGAGCAGAGCACCGGAAGCTGATGACCCAGAACAAAATTGGATCCCGATACCAAACTCCACTTAGAGATCTTAAAGAAACTCTAATTTTGACAGCTGGACAATGGCGTCCCGCGTTTTCAAGATGAAGTTTCGTTTGATCCGTGAGCAAAGCCTCGGCGTCGGCGTCGGCGTCGTTCTCTATGTTGGCCTTTCGGACTGCACGGCAACTGGCTTCCGAACGTCGACGTATAAATATCATGTGAGCCATCCTCTCCATCGGCGTGCACCAACACGAGGCTCGGCGTCTTCCCTTGGCTCCCGTAACTGTGTGGCCCCGAGTCTGCGCTATTTAGAAAATCTTTCGCTTAGCGGGAGGCTCTTCGTGGCAAGGGAGCTTCTTCTTGGCTTTCACCAAGGTGGCCGGCCGGGCCCTACTTCGCCGTGCTCCTCCTTCATCCACAGTCAACGAGTCGTGTACTCGATTTCATTTTTACTTCTTTCTCCATTTTTATTTGCCTTCTCGTCCATTTTCTCAATTCCCTTTCTCCATGCTTTTCTTTTTCTCCTGATTCCCCTCGATCTCCCGCTCTCGCTTAGTCGGACCGCGATAACGCGTCGTCTGCGCTAAAAATCCTCCGCCGTTGTGTACTCGGGTGATACTTGTGCTTTTGATATTTATCCTGGATTTATTGTGCGGGTTCGTCCGAGCCGCCATTCTGGATCACGAGGGACATTAAAGTAACTTCGGTTTACTATGTGTACTACGCGACACGGAGGTAAATTTATAATAGAACTTTTTATAACTATTTTCAAAATTTGGCAATCTTTCCGCTTTTCGTTATATTCTTGGACATATTCGAATTAACCAACTGCCTTCTGTTCTCACTTGACTGTCTGCTACGAGGATCGTTCAGTCCGATCGACGTGGGATCGATCGGCGTCTTTGAAAGTTCTTGTAGAATTCAGCGGCGACCTCGGGGCACGTCTGGAAAGTTTTCCATCTAAAATCTAAATCGCGCACGCTGTTCTATGCAGCCCGGGACTCGCTTGACGACATAATTTGTTTACGAACGTCGTGTCTGGTTTAATCTAGTATCGCAACTGCACATGTCTTTGGCTATTAAAAATGATTGGTGCGAATGTACGGCACGAAGGATTGTCTTGAAGTTTGCGATGGGTACTCTGAGGAATCTACGACGTAGCCAGAGAAAGATGGGTGAATTTTCGTGAGAAGCATCTATTGAAAATTTTGAATACTTATATTGGCGTTAAAGGAATATCAATATATTCGTTAAGGATTTTGGCATCGTCTTGACCTCCGCCTTGAGGTACATCTCTACGTAATGAGAGAAACGAATAACAGAACTTCATAAAGGAGTGTGTAAGCGTGCCCCATTATCACTTTTTAAATAAACCCGCAGCATTCCATCGTCGACGGTGACAAAGAAACCAAATATTTATAAAATATTCGCAAAAGCCATTTTACTCGGCGGATAAATAACACGGCAGAAAGGAATGTTGGGCTCCTTTATCGTCTGAAATCGCTGTCGCAATTTACGAGTGCGGCCTTTTGCGATGACATAAGGCAAGAGGCTAGCAAGCACGAGTCTTCCCGTTGTCACTGCCACTGCCACTGCCATTACTACCAACCTTGCCAATAAATAGGCAAAAGTACAAAACTGCCAAGTTTAAGATTGACTTTCCTGGTAAACAGCTGGCTTAGCCGCCTAACCAGAGTGTCTAGCGTGTGCCGTATCGCCGCGAAAACAGACAGCGCGTTGCGTATCGATTGTCTAAATATTTAGCAATTTGAATCATCCGACGGTACCGGCAATTGTGAGGAATTCAAGGCGATCTAGCTGCTAGCCAGAGAAAAGCACGGAGGAATTTATCGTACGATTAATGGACCAATTGAGGAAAATAGATAATCGAGAGTAATAATTAAGTTAAGTAAAAAAAAACTGTAACGTGGTCCTCGCGCGCTGATCTTCCGACCATAATTCATTTAACGGCAAAGTGCATTTTCTCGCGAGAAAAAAATGCTTCTCAGAAAGCCGACTAAGCTTGGAGAATTCGAAATCGCAAAGATGCTTCTCGCGTGTAGCGTGCAAATAGTTCACGACTGAGTAACGCTCGAACCTGGCACGGGTTCAGGGTACTCGGTGCTGTCGGCCAATGGTACTTCGACTCGGACGAAATGCCTCTGCCTTGGCCCAATCGCATCGACGCTACACAAGACGAAAGATTTTATTTATAGCGAACCAAACCGACGGTGGGTTTCGACAAAATTTGCATTTTCCATTCATCTTCGACCGCGCATGCGCACGTACGACCCGACGAGCGCACAGTTGCATTTTTATGGTACTGCTAAAAAAAACGTCTCTGGATAAACAGACAGACAGATAAAGATATCACAAATTTTAATTTAACAGACTCGGAACTTTTTTCGAAATTTTTAGACAATTTACGCTGAACGACGTATCTTAATGGTTCCAAACAGCTTGTGCCTTTTAACGATTCTAGAGATTCGAGTGAGAGAAACAAAGAGATTTTTTTAATTTTCTCCGAAAAATCTCTAATGACGCAGGCGAAGTGTCGACGTTGCTTTATGAGGACATGGAGAGTCGATCGAGTTCTTCACTCTCGATCTACGGTATAGCGATACTTTCATAAACAAAAATAATCAAAAATTTTTTCTACATTTTTACTTATTTGGACACATAAAAAATATTATAAATGACGTTCATCAATTAATCGGTAAGGTGAGGTGCGTTCACATAGGTCCAGTCGGCCATTAGATATCGCGTGGGATATTCGTGTGCGTGCGTAATTGTATATAAGAGTGGAGAGTGTAGTCACGTGATTGTAATGCAGATCCTCAGATGCATTCGTGACTGGGTGCATTAGAGAGTGCGGCTACTTAACTGGCATCTAGGTGAACCGCGTGTGAGCACGTTGTGTCGCCGATTGTGAGTCCGCCTTCGATAGCTGTCGCTACTAGGGAGTGACGTGCGACTACGATACTGGAATTAGATATACGATCGTCTGTCATTTCAATTGTAACGCGTAACGGTACGTCAGAGTCATTCCTAAAAGATCCTCTCGACGATCAATATTAATTTGCATGTCTTACTCATCGCGGTAGTAAGAAGATTTTATGGTCTGATGTTAAATAATAAAAATTGAATTATCGTTCGCATAAAATGGTTGTGAAACATTAAAATATCAAAGTGCTCGCGCGCTTGCCGGAAGCGATGGCAATCCGAGAGAAACAGTTAATCCGGATGTTGCAAGTTGCAGTGAACAATCGTAACCTTGACAGGGACTTCCGGTAAGTTGTCAGTACTTTAACTACTTTGACTTGGCATCCAACCGGAAGTCGCGCCAGTCCGAATTGTCTGGAACAAAGAATTTTTATAGCAAAAGTCACACTTGGCCCGGTACGTCTTCCAAACGTGCAGAATTATCGTGCGTCGCAGCTAGTTGAACGTCGATGAGACGTGATTTCCGGTTAGATGGTTAAATCCAGATGAATAAAGGAATGCCGCTCTCAAAGCATTCCGGGAGTTTACGATGACAATAAATTTTCACGGTGTCTTAAACAAGGTCAAGCGCGACTCGCGAACTCTTGCGGACGTAGGCGCATACCTAATAACTGTCAGATTATTTATTTATTTACAAGTTTCGCAGAGAGGGATGAATGTACTTCTCATGAAATCTTCGTGCGAATCGATTGCGATCAATCGGGAGCCAGAATCTCACCGATAGGAAATTATTGGGTCTTCTCGAAAATGAACGGTTCAAGTATTTCCATATTCGCAAAAATCAATTTTGAAGCAGTTCCTCCATATTAATTTTTTTTTTTTACAAAGCGGAAAATCCTGTTTCATTATGACTCTTGATATATTTCGCAGAACAGAGACGAGCTTCTCGGTAAAACCATAAAATACAGTCGAATAAAAATCTGCGACCAAAAGGGACGATTTATCGTAAACGGGTATGGAATCGTGTTCCAGGGTGAGGGAAGGATGAAGAATGCCCCGCGTCGCCGGGGAAGGGGGCGGTGCGGGAGGCAACGAGAAGACAAGCGGACCCGGAGGATTCGGAGGATGGCTTGGGGGCGCTGCGAGAGCCATGACAGGCGTAGGAGCTGCTGGCTACGTCGTCCTAGGAGGAACCAGATACAGATTACGTCTATCTCAGGTGACTAAGCATTTGTTTTTTTAAATTATCGATATATCTGTTAACATCAAGAAATTGATTCACAGTTAGTTTCTTGAGAAACATGGATAGTCTAGTTTAAGATTTTCAAAAAAAAGAAAAATGGATGCACCTTGGACCGTTCCGACCGCTAGGCTCCTGGAAGATCTCCGGAGCGTGTCTTCGCCCAGAGACACGAAGTAACTAAGAGACAGATCAAGATATACGGTCAGAGTCGAGTTATCGTGTCACGAGACACGTATTTCCAGTAGCGACGCCACTCGGTCGAACGACTCCAGGAGGACGTTATCTCTTCGAGTCCTCCGAACTCATCCGGTAGGACCCCTGCAATCAGCTTCCACGAGGAAGCCACTCGAGGAGCGTGGAGTTCGTGTACCACACGTGCGCAGTAGCCGTATAGACATGTGCTTGGAATCGCACCTACACGTAACGTGTTACGGGAGGATCTATTTCAGGGTAGTTTATCTGTAAGAAGTTCCTGGGAAGGAGTCCGCTTCGTCGTATTCGACTACCCACCCGATTCCCCTTATATTGTTTACATATGTAATAGAGAGAGAGAAAAAATATACACGAGCAAGCTCAGCCAGTGAAGAAGGAGTACGACATGAACGATTATCCCACAGGAGAACTTGCCACCAGCCAGTTCGCGCGAGGAGTCCCAGGAGAGGAAGAAGAAGAGGAACTCGAGAGAGGGCGACTCCCGGGAACGCCTGACGGAGAAACCGGCGGAGAAGACGTCGATCGATCTGACGGCGAGCGTGGCCGATTGTTGCTGCATCGGTCCCAGGTCGCGGCTTCCTCTGCCACGAGTTTCGCTGTCGTCTAGTGGAACCGGAGGACAGCCTCCGTTACCGCCTGGTCACGTTCCTGGTCCTGCTCCTGTTCCTGTATATGCCTCCGCACCCGTCGTCGCTGCTAGTGCCACCGTCAACAGCAGCAGTGGCGCCGGCAACAGCAGCAGCAGCAGCAGCAGGGCTGCCGTGGAGCCAACGCAACTGCCGCCAAACTCAAACGCTAATAATAACCGTGGGGGGCTGCAAATGGGGAGCTACGGCTCGCAGCCACAATCATCTACAGCATCATCGTCGGCCTCAGTGGCCCACTCAGTCTCCGTGCCGCGACAGCTCGCCCAGTGGACCAAACACCAGACCCTTAAGCTTCAGGTACATACCTTCGTTTCGTCACATTTTCTTCATCCTCGCTCGGACAGTTTTCTCCTCTGCTACTTACTGCCTATTACTTCTTACCTTTTCTTCTTACCGCAGACCATTACTCCTACCGGAGACTCTTTTCAGATGTAGATGCAACGTCATTATGACTCGCATGACCTTTTGCATTCGTTTCTCAGACTTATTCGATTCTTGAGTCTGTACCTTGTGGCTGCACCAAAATTCTCTCCATGGAATCTTAAGAAACTTTATTGTTCGGTCGTCTTGCGTGCCCGTGTCAACGTGCTGATTGTGCTGTGACTGTGATTAGGAATTATGTTGGGATTCTTAAGTAATATGTACAATTATCTCTAACGTATCGTCGCAGTGTGGACTACCCGTGAATTGGCTGAAGACTTTTTTTTTTGCCTGGCCGATTTATACTTTGAGACTTGAGACGGAGGATTAATTATTTTTATACCGATGGACTCACGGGAGACTCCTATTTCTGATGTCAGGTGGTTCGGATAGCGATGATTTTAATTGCATGAGAAAAAGGAAATGCACTAGACGTAAGATCTGGCACGTCAGGTGTGTCCTCGCGTTAAGATTGGCACACCCCAGTGCTCGGATACTTACACTCTAATGAAACACCATTTTCCCTAAGACTTACCTGGGGAGGCATTCAAACTTTGATCACGTCAGAGACTTTCTCAGTTCCGCTTTCTTAACTACGTCACGCACGTTTTTGCTCGGATTTTCGTTTAATCTACTGGGCTGGGGATAACTCTGAGAATTTATCGCACGTCCATCCAAGATGTTTATGCACGTATCTCAGAAGTTTACTTTTGACGTAATTCTATGATATCTCGATTTTTTTAAGGAATCCGAAATTTTTGACTTTTGATATTCCGATTACGTTGGTACTTCTGTCAATAAAAAATTCACTAAATGCAAATCATCCACACGAACAGGAACCAGCAGTGACAGCAGTGGACCGATTGCACAGGTTTCGCTGGAGCGGGGGCGGAGGAGGAAGCGGTAAAAAGTCCTCTTCCGGCCCCCGGAGTGACAAGGCAGAGCGCCTGCGCGAACTCACGGAAAAGCTCAAAGGACCGGCTCCAGTTCCGCCCCCGAGAAGACCATCCCGAATCCATGCGTCTTCGCCACCCCCGGGTTCACATCAGACGGCACCAGCCAATCATCCTCAGGTCAGTCAAATGTTCTCTTTTCTGAATTAGAAAAAAAAGAATAATAAAAAAAATTATTAACACCCTCGTGTTTCTCTTTCAGACACCACAGACCGGCCCGGTGCAAGGCTGCGGCCGCTGCGATGGTCGACCGTCCTACCGCAGCAACACCTACAGTGATGGGAGTGTCAGTAACAGTACTCCAGGATGCCAGTCGAAGACGTTTTTCAGAAGTGATAGTGTCAGTGAAGAGTGTCTGAATGAGCCGACAGTCGAAAACGAGAGTAAAATCGGTAGCTTGAACTCTACGTCGAGGAAGAGTGCGAAGCTGGCCAAGGCCAATGAGAGAAACAGTGGTGACATCAGTGACATCAAGAGTCTCAGTGAGTCGAACAGTGAAGCTAAGCACTTGAGACAATACAGTGATTCGGTGGTGGACAGTGCCAAGAGTCTCGACGATTTATGCGAACCCGCCGAGAATATTGTCGGTCTCGGGACCCGCGGCTCACCTGGCGGCACCGACGCCGAAGCAAGGGATGCAATCACGAGATTAGAGCCTCGAGGACCTCTTCTGTCGTTTCACAGAAGCGGCGCTCCCTTTAGAAGCGCCTCCTTCAGCCAGGTTGATTTTCATCAAGGTGAGAGACCGTCTCGCTCTTCTCGTAATACTCTGGACCGGAGTCCCTGAGATACGTGCTACTGTTTGCTTGCACGTGCTACTTTATAGGTTGCCAGTGCAAACAAACTGCAGCTGCAATGGGAATGGGCTTGATTTAATTTTTTCTAGTAAGCTCTCATCGGGATGTTTCGATAGCTTTTTTTTTTTTCCTCGAAAGCGCTGAGTGGTGCTCAACATTTTGGATTTATAGGTTTCGAGATAGATTCGGGCATCGGCCCTTTTCACATATCGTCACGTTTCTGCAGCCAAGAAAATGTATTCGACTGGCGCTGTTTGTTTGTTATTATTGGAATGGTCCGACGAGTCTACGTCCTGATCTCGAAAACGCTGCCAAACTTGCGTTCGGCGCTCGAGGTAATTAGGACTTCCTCTGACGTTTCTAGCCGCGGCCAAGAAAAAAAATGTCCCCGGGTTATTATTAAAAAGAGTTACGTCTTTCGCTCGCTGCTATTTACAATGAGACAATCACAGAGCATTATGTCAATCCAAGAATAATACCTGTTCGTATCATGCTAACGTTTTCTCGTTCAGGTAACAGGCAGAAGATCCAACCGAATGCGAACTCGAATCGTACCGAGTCTAAGGATGTTCGTGCGAGTACCTTGCCGCGACGTCGTGGCGACGTCAGTCCAGGCGTCTCGACGCCGCATAACAGTCCAAATCGACAGAGTCCAAGAGCCTCCACTCCCAGTATAGACAGTGCCGTAGGCTCTGCCGAAGGTCTAGGTGCTCTTCCGCAAACGGGACCCGAGGAAGTGCGTCCGAGAAGCGATGGTTCCGACAGCCTGGCGACCTCAAGCGCCCTAACCAGTCCTGAACCACCGGTACCGGAGAGCCATGAGCCAAGAGACCTGGCCCAACCAGACATACCCATTTCGGAGAGACTTCCGGATGCTGGAGATGTACCGGAACCCGCGGTCGAGGAAACGGTTCAAAGGGGTGAGTTCATGCTCCCTAGAGAGGTCTGAGATTCTCGAAATGCGTGCGCCATTGTGCGTCTCTGCGTGCATACCTACGAGGAGGACTATTTTCGGTGCATCGACAAGGGATGGGTATAAAGGTATATGAAGTTGTAAGTTATTTCGTGCGGTACTATTTTTGGCGCTGTGGGTGTCGGGGTTAAAAGTAGGATTTGAGCGTCCAATCGCGTCATCGAGCCATAACCATCTTCATTGATGACATCACGGTATTGACTTTATCCAGTTGAATCAGACGCGTTCCCGATAATATATCCCGGGTTGAAGTTTGTGTGTATGACCCTTAAAAAAATAAGACAATCCTAAGGAACGTCCGTTTATTCCTTGGCTAAGACGAAATTTCGATTTCTGTATTTCAGAATGTAGAATAGAACCGCACGAGGTGATCATCACGCCGCCACCGGAAGAGCCGAGATTGAGTCAAGCGAGCGAAGGCAGCGAGGCTCCTAGTGAAACACCTTCGGAGGCCTCGTCGCCAGGGAAAACACGAAGGTATCGTGGCGACACGAGCAAAAGGAGAAAAGGCGTCTACATCACTCAGTGGCCGGAACCGTCAGACGGCGACAGAAACAGACTGGCCGCTCAAAGCAGCGAGGAAAGAGACGACCCACCAGCCACACCAAGCGACTTGTCGGACTGCGAAGGACACACGCCGAGGAGGCACGTATCTTCTTCAGTTGGAATCGACGCGGGGGAAGATAATAAGTTCCGAAAGAGTTGTCTAATCTCCATTCGAATTTCCCTTCGATCATCCGTAGGTACAGCAAGAGGCCACTTCGAGGTCCCTATGGACAAATGTTGGAAGCAGAAATGGCGAAACCGCGCACCGCCGATATTGCTCTCGAGGAAGGTTTGCGCCCACGTCGGAAAGTCTCTGCCAACCTGTCGTACAGTGCTGGGACGAACAGTAGTTCGGAACCTCCGACGCCTTGTCATCACAGAACGACCTCGAGCCCCAGCAAGTTGGAAGGATTACTGGGACCTAGTCCAGAGCTTTTGGCTGAACTTCTCAGAGGATCTTCCGAGCGCGTAGCTCGGGCACCTGCGCATCGAAATGTGAGCCAATTTCAAAAAATTTTTCATTTAATTTTTATACTTCCCTTGAATGGAGGGGCTGGGGAATTATCATTCAAAGTCAACGCAGGTATTTTGGCAAAGTCTAGGAAATCTCTTGAAAGCACTCTGAACAGAGTTCACGAGGCACTCTGTCTTCCTTGCATTACGTAAATATTAAACGTCCACGCGTAAGAATATCGGGTGCTGAGAAATTTGCACGAAACGATCGGACGCATCGTAGGATCTTGCCTGGAGATTACTGGGACAATGCTCGACGTCCGGTTCACATTTTTATCCTCGTACCGTATTTCGCATCCTATTATAGAATTATAAAATTTATAATCCTGAAGGATTAACCCCAACTTGACCCTGACATACTTGCAACGAGTACGAATGATGCGCGCGACCTGAATCTTTATTTCCGTCATCGGACTGGCAGAACATTCCTTAGAGTTCGATTGGACAATAAAATCATTCGGTACGTTAAAGATTCGCGCGTAATTCTGCGCACGAGACCGTCCAAAGATAATCTAATAATATTCGGCCATATTTCTCAGATGACTCCGAAGCTTGGCTAGTGTGCCGGGGTTAGTAGGCAGTGTCCCTTGGTTCTAAGATAAGCGGGGGCGACCAAGTGGATATTCCTGGCCTTAGGTGTACCTGGGAGCGTGGGGTCTAGCCTCCGACACAGACACCCGGAGCACTCCTTGCTCTTTTGACGCAACTTTGCGATCTTGCGTAATATCCAACTCTTATCCCTGCTCCGCCACCAGCAAACGCCACGCTTACCCGACGAACAACAAACACGATCGTTTTACTACAATGAAACGCGCAACCTGTTGCTATCGATCCAACGAGTTGATCTTTCATTGATTTACGTGCGATCGGACATTTCGCGTCCCGTAGAAACGCTTATCGATCATTCGCCTAATTGAGAAAGTCTGAATTTTCCACGAAGGGATACGTCCCTCGTTGACCCGATTTTTCTCAGCTGGACGTCTTCGGCAGAATTGAATTTTCAAGCTTTAATATATTTTCGTTCTCGTTAACTCGGAGCAGATTTATCATCGAGTTGAATCAGAGTATAAATACGTTTTTGAATTTTCGTACGATGCCCCATCTCGTTGGATGGTTTCCTGGTTTCGCCCATCAAGTTCACTGAATGAACGCGTCTGCGTTCTACGCTTTACGTATACGTTCTCGTCGTCGTCTTTCGTTCACCCGTGACGTCGATTCTAAACATACATTCATACTACGCTTGGATATCCGAGAACATTAATTTCATTCGGAGTCGGGCGTAAGCAGGCGAATTTTCATCGGCGAATTTCGCGCCGCGACTGGAACGACTCTTGGCCGACTTTACGACTTCCGGATGCGACCGCGTTGAATTTACGTATTTTACCGATTTACGAATTTACCAAAAAGTCACGGGACGAAAACACACGGCGATCCTCGTGTATTTCGAGAGTCCCGCATGCGCTGTCGTTTCCGAGATTGCAATTTCGCGGGCATTCCTTGGCGCTTGCGAAATTTTTTTCCATTACCTTCGGCATTGGCGGCCCCAAGTACTGTATACGTCCGGTAAATTAAATATTTAAATATCTCTCGGTAGAGCACACTGGGTCGCTGCTGCATCGGTTCTTCTGCCGGCGTCGCCGCTATTGCTGCTACTGCACTTGGGTTATTCATAGATTATCCGGCGCATCGTGGCCTAGCACCGAGGGTGCACTTCAACCATCGAGGTGAACCTCATCCCGAGAGGATCGTTGTCTGCGGCAGAAAGCCCTGGTGCTAGGTAGCTGCAGTAATATTCTTTCGAATTAATTCATTGCAACGTGTAAAAGCTGTCGGCGACCGCCACTTGCGAACAATAACAAACGGCGCGTATATCGCCGACTTGAAAACGGGTCCTGCCATGTGGCGAGGTATCGTGAATTAAACGCGTTGCAGCTTTCGGCCTACATTTAGACAGTTGACAGTTGCCAAACAGAAGGATACCCAGCCTTGAGTATTTTTTAAACTACCAAATCGGAGGTACCTTTTAACATAGGGGCTCGTGGATACAATAAAGTCAAGCGATTGAAATACGAATATAATTGCTTTAAAAGGTAACCGAACGGTATATGTATACCTAATACCTATACAAGTATCGGATAATATTAACATTGTAAACCGATCGAATGTTTTCTCAGACTATACGGGTGTTTCTCAGGGGTGTTCAAATAAATGGTATATCAGAATCGCCAAGATATGTTTCCATAGAATAATTCAAGATGGAAAGACAGCAGAGAGGCTGTGTGTCTCCGTTAGCAGGAGGTGTTCGGGACACGTTGCGGAGGACCCCGAACGCGTGCCACGCGTACGAAAAGAAACAGTGCGACGCCCTATACCCGCCATCTGCATTGCTCGGCGTCTGGACGCTAAGCGCCGGTCGAAGTTGTTTTGGCATATTCGAGACACGGCTGGATTCGTAACGAAGAATGTTTTCAGCTGTTTATGCTTGATTCTCCCTGGCGTATTATTGCACGGGAGCCGGACACTCTGGTTGGCCGATTTAATTTATTATACCGATTTGTAAATACTTCTCCCGACACGATATCGCGAATGCCTTTTGTCGGCCGGTCGATTTTTGCTAAACTCGTTAATCGACTCTCGTATGTCTGTCTTCGGCATATCTCTCGGAAGACAACAAACTGACGAAACGCTACTCATCGCCGATCAGCCGTCCAGAAATGGACCAAGCACGCGTAGTCCAGATTGACGCAGGTGTGAGCTTCCGGCGTCGCCCACCAGGTGGCCACGTCACGACCTCCTCCTACACAACTTTTCTTAAATTTAGATCAGCCGCTACACGTACGCGCATTCTGCTTCTTCGAGCTGCTGGGAGGAAATACATTCGATGAATGAACTTTCGGATTGTACCCTGCGAACTGTCATTGTCCATTGTTAAAATGCATGGACCTGTCTTCGAGTGAATTTCGCATCGTGAAGCAGCACAGGACTACTAATGGATTATGGCCGAGAGTCACGCGTTCACGGGCAACAGCGATCTTCGTAGACGTCAAAGATTTTTGTATATTCTCTTAATCGCGAACAGAGACGTTCCTTCGATTTCTATGAAGACTAAAGTCTCTTGCGAGATCGATCAAAGAAATGGCTCCTCCCGAAGGGATATGCGCGTTCGTCGGAACTTCAATTATTTTGTTAACTTTGAAAGACGACGCGTGGATCTTTGATCTTGATTTCTTTTTCCGACTATTGACTACAGGTCGACACCAAGACTTATTGGCGCTGGCATTCGGTATCTTATTTATTAAATTCCACAGTGTTTAATGGGATATGCACCACTTCGATTATACACGCAGATAGGTTGATCCATGAGCTGCGGAAGTTGGGATAAACAGAAAAAGACTTTTTTTCGGAGAACTCTCCGATCTAGCTTAACCTCTCACGTTACTTGATATACGTTAAGCTTCCTTCGTCCCGGCGTCAAGTCGTTTCTCCGGGAAATCGGGAAACAGTCTGTAACGTCGACGATCAATTTAATATCGTGGCGTGTATCGCACTGATAGCTGTATGTCTTTAGCGTGTATCATAATTCATAATGGAGCTCTCCGTCCAGCGTGGCTTATCGTATCGTGGCAAAATGCCGATCAATGATGGTCAACTGGATTTAAGTGGATTCCTTGATATATGGTATCTAGGAAATAATCAGGCTTTTGTATAGAGATCTCGCGAGGGGAGAAAAAATAACTTCACTCTACACGCTGTTCTGCCTGTATGCTAGTACTGGTACAAGAGTAATTAATTGTACCGATCAACTTCATAGAAATGTTAGTGCCGTAGTGATCGGAATGAATTAAATGTTTGTTCGGTAAAAAGTTATTTTTGCGTGCAAAAAATTTATAAAATTTTTTTCTCTCGTCCGACTTTAAGGGCTGGTATATTTTTATCAAGAGCTCATTAGACACCTCCAATGTTTGCTTATCGAATAGATGGTAAAGTTGGGTGGATCGTGGTTTCGTCGATAAGGATGAATTATTAGCTGAACCGAACAATGTCCGGGGCACTCGTTCACGCCGTTATATGCAATACCCATGGATTTCGAATTTACAACGAAAGCATCTCCATTCTTTGGTATAATGTTTTTCATTTACTTCTCGAGCATCTTCAAAGGGGTCTCAGCTGATATCGAGAAGACAAAGCGCAAAGAAGGGACAGCTGGCACTTGGCAAAAATATCCTAAGGTGTCATAGACGCCGTCTGTATTTTACGTAATAAAAGTGCAGAAAAAAATCATGGCTCGTTGACAAACAGTGAATCTTCCTGCGGATGACGTCAAAGCTCCTGTCGGTGAATGTGGCGACAAATAGGAAAAAACAGGGCCGGAGTCCACTTTAATAAATTAAATTCTACGTCGTTCGTCCCGGTTCGTCGTGCGACGTCACAGCCGTCGCGTCGCCGTAATCGTCGAAGACGTCGTCGGTGTCAGCGTTCCTGTGTCTTATTCGAAAATCGATGATTTTCTAATTTTTCGATTTCCTCGTTAAATCCGAAAGCGCGAGTAGCTGCTTCGCAGAAATGTTATTCGATTAGTCACGGGCCAGCTCCATTCAGAAGTTCGCTTAGTGTTTATCATATACAAAAATAGAAGCTAGTTACGAGTTACTACCATGAGGTGCTCTAGGACGACCTGGACCCGTTGGGATATTCCAAAGAATTCGGAGGGAGCGTTTCTGGTGCATGGGTGTAGACGGATTCCATGATTATTTGGAAATACAAAGAGAATCTCGCCATGACCAGTTTTCTCGATCTACCTGGTCTTCGGTATTTTTTGAACTATTTTCAGGATTTAAATCAGTCTAGAAACGTATCCTGAAATAAAAAACCAGAACAGTCTGGGAAAAAAAGAGACTCCCAGACGGAATTCGCAAATGACGGTGAATCACTTTGGCGAATCCTTATTTCGAAAACGTATCGGTGTTACACTTGAAATTATTCTAGGATTCATCAATCACGTCCATCAGTCGGAAACAGCACTTTTCTGGGTGCGATGTGTCACGCTTCCCACGCGTAAATTGCCATTGGCGAATCTTCAAGGATCTTAACCTCTACTCAGTCACCAGGCGATGTACTATACAATCGTATCCTCTCCGTGTCTGAATTTCCGAAAATTACTTTCCGTCCGATTTCAATGAATCGAACTCTCATTTAATAATCAGTTGTTTTAACCAAATTTCTTGGCTCGTTTCGAGGAAATCTGAAGGCAAGCACGATCTCGATGATATTCGAGGAATATTTTTTAGTTTTCATAATTTTCCTAGCTCAGACAAATACGAACAGGCTGCTCCGGCCAGCTATGGAATTCGTCGTGGGAACTTCTCGAAGGAAGAATTTGCCCTGATCTGGCCCTAAAATTGGCAAGGAGCAGCCCCTCTCGAGCGAGCCCCGTATCGATTTGTAGCCAGCAGACGACGAGAGTGGAGTCGAGCGACCCTTCTGCCTCGTGCTCACCCTGTAGAGTCTCTAGGACCTGCATGATGTACCGAACCGCAAAATCATTATAAAAAGTCTGGATTTTTTTTCCTAATTTTTTTCCCTAACTTTTTGCAATTTTTATCACAACGAAAAAAAAAAAAATTCTGAATCTACAGTTTGGCCATGAAATGTATCCGAATAGTCTCGAGCCCCCACCCGCCATTTTCAGTCTTCCTCTCTGATCGCCTATACGTTTCCCTTAGGCCATAAGAATCAGCCGGCAAATGCGCAAGCTTGTGCAGCAACGCACTCAGCCATGAATTCCCTGGAATTATGGTGTCTCCTATCACCTTGATTGTAGTTTATCGCCGGCAGCGGCCGCGCTTAGACGAGATTTTGGATTTCGCCATCCCCGTGTGTAATCATAGTATTAAACTGCGCGCCGGCGTCCCGACGCTGCCTCTCGCGTCTCCCTTGCTCTTGAGCATCGATCACCCTTGGCGGGTTTGTGCGTCAGGACGCTAGTTCAGCTGCTACGCCCGCTGCTTCCGAAACCAACCAGCCCTTAACTCTCGCGGACTTGGTTATAGTGATTTTCAATGTTTTAGCCATTTTTATTCACGCCCTTCCACCCGCTAATCCATCCTGCCTTCACTCACGTCGCCAAATTGGTGCTCGTGCTTGTTAAAAATATTTTTGAAATTCATTCCAACTTCATTTTACATATATTTAAGCGTTCTCGGTAAGCCAATGCATATACGGAACGAACGAGGCCTTTTCGAAATTGGAAAATAATTGTGATAAAATTCATTTTTGCAAATTTAATAACGAGTGCGAAAATTCACTTGACAGTGGAGAGTGACGCGACACCGAGGAAAGTGTACACGCGTGCACAAAGTCTGAAAGTACTGAAGGAGTTACCCAAAAAGTATTTAAGAATAGATAAAAAAAATTAATAAAATTTTTTCATATATAAAATAATATATTACACGTTTCAAGGAATAGTCTAACGGGCGAGTAGATATTATATATTTTTTTTCCGTTGAGAATTAATTATGTCATAAGAATCTCATAACAGGGAAATAATTACATATTAAATCCTATATACCTGTACCATGCGATTAACTGATAAGACCAATCAGGTCAGCAGTGACCGTCGGGAATTAAAAGTGAATTCGAAGGGACTAACGAAAACGAACATAACCGTAGGTATAATAAGAGAGAAAAATAATACAAAATCTCTCAAGGAGGGATCCATAATCGACTGTAAAAGACACTATTGTAAATATTTGCATGAAAACGTACGGTGAAAGCTGTCTTCAAGATGGTGCTTCTCGTTCCAACAATTCCCGCGTGCGAGCCGGGATGGCGTATAAAAAATTTGTTTTGAGAATTCCAGAGGAAAGGACGCCTTGGCCCGAATATCGATAAAGCCGCAAGGCAGTAGGGTAGTCGTATTATAGGTACGGAGTACACATAGGAGAATTTCTAAGGAATGAGGAAAAGCTCCGTGAGGGCTTGCAAGCACAGGTTGCGCCGTGTTCTTAGTCAGCCATCCGAAAATAACGTTACAGGAGCGTTCGGGCTGCCAGTGGCCTAGGAAACATTGAAGGCGCTGTAGAGGAGAAGGCCAAAAATGAGACGTGGAAGGTTCGGTTAGGCATTAGGAGGGAACGTCAGAACATATCAATCTTCGAGCGGCGAGGAAACTTCGAATGCCGACTGATCGAAGCGCCGAAGCTTTTCTGGCTTAAGATGTTTCATCGAAGCTGTTCAGGCTGAAAGCTCGATCCGCTAAGTGCTCGCTGACAAGCGTGCAAACATCCCAGGCACCGGGTCGTCGTGACGCTTGGAAATTCGTTAAAGTGATTTAGCAGTAACGATCGAGAGAATACGATCGTTCGGGATTTCGAGATCTTTCGGATCTCCATGGGAGAAAAGTGAGTGGGGGGGGGGGGGGGGGGGAAGAAAAAAAA